AACGCGCTTGGGGCGGGCAGGGCATTTGGGGTCATCCGCGCAATGGGGTCCAAGGCAGTTTGCACACTGCTCGAGGGCGGTGCATTCTTGGCTACGATGGCCGGTTTTGCCACAACGCCTGCAGCGCGCCGTTCGATCGCAGCTGTGTCGAGCGTGGAAATCCCAGCACTTGTCACATTGGCTAGGAATGCTGGGCTTGTCGATATAGCGGGCGAACCGGCTGGCGCCGAACAGTCGCCAGGGTCTCTGCGTGGGTTCCAGGAAGGATACAATAAGGGTCTTGGTAGGCATATCGCCCGAGTCGTGTCGCGAGGTCCGTATGCTGATGGGCTTCAGTCCGGTTTGGCAGGCAATTTCTTCTTTGACCGCCTCATCGAAGTTGATCTCAACGCCGCGTAGGTCCGTGAGCCTACGGGGCAATCGGCTACGGCATACGAATGCCATTTCTGGCTAATCTCTACGGCCGTCGCGTCCAGATCTACGGCCCAATCCGCCTGTCGCTGCACGAGTAGTTCGCGCGTGGCCACATCCGATGCCAGGATGGCCCAACCCGTGTTTACCGGGAAGGCTGCCGGGATGCGGCGTAGGTCGATGCCGACTCTAGCGGCGATGTGGGCCCGGATAGCGTATCTTTCATGGTTTCGGGCCGGAGCATCGGCGTCAAGTCGGACAAAGACACGCAGGTCTTCCTGGGTGGGACCACGGGCGGTCGTCCTTGGAGACGAGTGGTGGTTTGCTGTTTTCGCTGTGGTGGGGCGGAGGCCGTAATGGCCAGCTGTCCTTGTGTCGTTTTGCCGGATGCGAGAACGCTGCTGTACGTAGGTTTCGGTGGTTCCTCAAGGTCGGCGAGCGATTGAGTCCAGAGGTTCAGAAACTTGGTGGCAACTTGCTTTGCGATGCTATTGTGGGAGCCGGACGTGAATTGTTTGGCTGTCTGTTCGAATGATTCGCTAAAGGCCCGAAAGACTGCCAGCTTGGCATCATGGGCTGCCGTTTGGTCGCGAGCGATCTTTGTAGCCGCTTCGATGATGGAGACAGGTGCATTTTCCGTGGACCCGGTCGAACCAGGGCCATTCGGGATTATTTCCGGCTGCGTTCCTTCCGCGACGGCAGCGTTGGGCGTGTCGCTGGGAGACGTCGGTCGAGGGAGCTGCTGAGCCGCCAGGGTTGAGACATTTGGGCGAGCCTCCGCCGGAGAGGACAGTAGGTGCTGAGATGCACGGGCTGCTAGATCAGGTGGCGATTGTATGTCGACAGCACAGGAGCGGCGCGCGAACCTGAGGCTGGTGCCATGGCCGCTGCCGGCGCTTTGCGCGGCGCTGTTGCGGAATTTTCAAGAGCACTGTTAAGCGAAAAGCTGTATGGATAGGCTACTTCCTTAACACTTGCGTGCCAAGAAAGTAAAAATGCAGGGAAGGGTTGTTGATGAGATTGCCTTTTAGTTTAGTTTAGTGTATTTTCCGTCCAGCAACTTTTGGTCGCTCAGGTCTCCGCAGGGGAGCACAGGACGTGCTGAGCTAGCAGGTGTCTACATGCTACATATCGTACACTTCACCCACTATCCAGCATTTCATCGGCTCAACGGCGCTCATGACAAACCTGTTGCCCGTCAGCGGGACGTCCAGGCATGAAGAGAAAGCTGTCCCGTGGTCAGATCAGCCAATTTGCTTCTGGGGCCTTGCAGCCCTTGATGACCTCGGCGATCGCATGGTCGCGAGACCTTGACGCCGCCCGAGATCGGAGCAGGTAACAGAAAGGATTGAGAGGAAAAGGTAGGTGAGAGAGGAGAATGATGACCGTCTAGTGGCGTGGGCAGATCCTCCGAAGAAGGAGCTCGCTTTCGCCAGCCTGACGAATTTGTCAAAGTCCTTGCCGATTGCGCGGTTGATGGCTGCAGCCGGCCAAGGTGCAAGCCGCATACGATGCCGTGGCGCAACCTTTCTGCAGTAAAAGATGTGTGCTGGCTCTTTTCGTCTTCCGCACGAGCACGTCAGTCGCGCATTGTCGTGACCAAACCTTTCGTGGTAGTCAGCAAAATCCCCATGGTGGGTTCTTGCTGCAAGCAAGTTACGAAGCAGGGGCCGAGAGAGCGCCAATTCTGACGGGCAGCTTGATGAGATTGCCGTTGACGGTCAGGGATCCTGTAGGGTAGGTGGCCAAGGCGAAATGTAGGTACGGATTGGGTATATAGCTACCACTAACCTTACAGGTTACTCAGGCCCGTTGTAGGTAAGCCTGCTCTCCTCTTCGGGGAACAGGGCCCCCTGTTCCGTTGGAAGAGTCGACGCGCTGCGCGCATCGACGCGCTTCACAACAAAGTTCAATCTCTCGCCTCAGTTCCACTTACACTTCTCTATTCTTCCACAACGCCTTGGCTGATCTAAACATTCCTATATGCAATGAGCGAATCTCCTGAGCCTTCTTCTACTCCCTTGCCGCCATCAGGCGATTCAGGCGACTCAGGCCCCGTTCCCCATCTCGAGTGGGATGCCTTCCCTGGCATCACTTCCGCGGCTATACCAAGTCTCAACGCGCCGGCAAGCTCAAATCGTGGATCTGGAGCTTTGGGTTCGACATTGAACATCAAGCTAACGTAGATAATCGCCTCTGGGTCTGTGAGCGGTGTTTACCGAAGAAATCGCCGAAGGGACCCGTGAGCTTCGCGGCAAAGGGACCCTAAACATTGAGCGCCATCTACATGATGCTCACAATGTTATTGACCCATCAGGTAGACGGTTACCGAAGGGTTCTACAACCAACAAGCGTTCTATTGCCCAATTCTTCAACCTCGATGCCAATGACCAGAAGGAGCAAGCATTCATTAACAAGCTAAAAAACCAATTCGATAAAGATGTCTTCCAATCTCTTGCTTGCTTGGATCACCGAGTCGAATGTTGCCTTCCGCGCAGTTGAAGCCCTCGATTCCGGCGTCTTCTCGAATACCTCAATCCCTCGATCGCCCTGACTCAAGCCCACATGACACACTCGACTATTCGAACGAAGCTTTCCAAGAATACCACCAGTACAAGCATATTGTGATAAAGGAACTGAGGAGCGCCCGGGCAGATACACCTTGCGTTTGACGGCTGGAGATCGCCCAATCGCTATGCGCTTAATGGGATTGCTGCGTTCTATCTCTCTAAGGAAAAGCGGCCACAGAAGATCATCCTTGGGCTCCTGAACTCCGAGAGTCTCATACTGGCGAGAATATAGCGTCGCAGGTGGCGGAAGTGATCGAATCATTCGAGATTCAAGACAAGATCGGGTATTTCACGCTTGACAATGCGAAGAATAACGATACGGCGGTAGCAGCACTGGGACACGTTTTTAATTTTGAAGGGAAGCAGAGACGGGTCCGCTGCTTTGGGCATATCATCAATCTCGTGGCCAAAGCGCTGCTCTTTGGCAAAGATAATGAAGTCTTCAAATCAGAAGAGCGACTCGACCTGGACCTTGCTCGACATGATCTCTGGCGGAAGAGGGGGCCTATTGGCAAGCTCCACAACCTTGTCCACTGGATTCATCAATCGGATAGGTTAACGTACATGCTTCGGGATCTACAACGCAAGAGGGACAGTACGAAGAAACCAGTTGACGTTGTAACGGATAACATGACACGATGGTTGTCCCATTATAAGATGATGGATCGAGCCCTTCTACTGCACGACTTTCTTGACGACCTCGTCGCATTGGAACAGTTCGAATATACCCGAAGCAGGTCAAAGAAGAAAGACATGCCTGCATGCCTCCGAGATTCTGACCTGCTGACCGGTAACGACTGGACAGTGATCAGCCACTTTCGGAATATTCTTAAGCACTTCGAAAATGCCATCAAGGCCCTCGAGGGAGATGCCCAGATTCGGGTGCGTAAGGGCGGCAACCTCGTGGCCTACAGAACAGCATGGGATATTATCCAAGCATTCGAATATCTCCTTGAACGATTGGAAGAGGCAAAGGAATTCGCCAAGGATGTGCCTGATTCCGAGCATTTCGCGATAAACGTCGAATTGGGGTGGAAGAAGTTGGAGAAATACTATATCAAGTTGGTTGAGTGCCCGGTATATTATGCTGCAGTCGCTCTCCATCCCGCCTTGCGACTGCAATGGTTTGAGGAGGCTTGGGCTCATCGACCTGAATGGGTCCTTGAGGCACGACGGATTGTTCGGGGCATCTGGGAACGCGACTATAAGTCATTAATTCTCAGCGATGACGAGGCTATTCCGATGGTTAAACGTCGAAAGGTTGACGACTTGAACGAGTTCCAACAGTTCCGACTGAGGCACCGGCTACAAGCTGGTCAGACGGCCACAACCCGTCGTGGGCCACCTACTGCCGATGAATTCGATCGCTGGACTGTTGATATCGGCGCAGATGACGGAGACATCACGGATCCGTTCCAATACTGGCAACTCAAAGAGTCAACGTATCCCAGACTTGCTCGAATGGCCTTTGATATGCTATCTATACCGCCAATGTCAGCAGAGTGCGAGAGGGCGTTCTCATTTGCTGGGCTAATGGTCACACGACTACGCAGCCGGCTTCAGGCTAACACGATCAATGCAGGCCAGGCAATTCGGTCTTGGCTGAAGGCAGGGCTAATACCCACTACCAGGAGATTATTGATGCTTCAGTCGATGACGATGTCTTCCCCGAAGAGGTGCCCCACGAAGGACGAGAAGTTGATGGTGTTGAGGACCTTAAGTAGCTTACTAATAGGTAGGGTAGGGCATCAACTCCGTCAATCAACGCAATCAATTCAACGAGGGCTTGGATTGCTCAACTCAACGAGAGGTTCGCTGATGTAAGCCGTCAATCTACTCAATTTGACTCTTTGGTTGAGTTGATTGAGTGGTTTGCCACCCTGTCTTCAACCTCACGACGGACAGGCCACTCCTGAAAGCGTGAACCTTTTTCAACAGAAAACGGGATCGATCAATTTTGTGGCGATATCAACTCGACCCGATGTTTCCTTTGGTGTCAGCAAATTGGCTGAACACATGATGAATCCTTCTCCCAAGCACCATGAAATCATGGATCGGATGCTTGAGTATCTTTTTGCAACACGATTCTTCGCGCTTGAGTTTTCAGGAAATTCCAACGAGCTCCAACTTCTTACCAAGCCGAAGGAAATCCGGATTGCTACCGACGCTGCTTTCGCGGATAACCCTGATTCGAGGAAATCCTCCCAAGGATGTCTCATCACTCTCTTCAATGGTCCAATTTGGTGGAACGCTACGAAGCAAACCACTGTTACTACTTCTTCCACTGAGGCAGAGCTCCTCGCCTTCACCCACACGGCCAAAGAGACTCTCAGCCTCCTCCGATTGTTCAAGCAAATCGATCTGGAGCTTGACAACGACCCCGTTATTGAGTGTGACAACACACAGACGATCAGGCTCATCACAGCCGACGTTCCACGTATAAAAACTGCTCTCAAACACGTCGATATTCACAACGCCTGGGCAAGGCAAACGTTTCAAGAAGGCCACTTTGAGGTCGAGTGTGAGGGAACGATCATGTGACCTTTATCTCCACTTTTACTCCTGTAAAGTCGGTCGTTGCAAATTCCCCGCCGCCCCCCACCGCCTTCCGCTTTAGGCAAGCCCCTTCCCCTTTTGGCCCGTCGCTGCATACGGGATTGCTATAAGAACACCTACACTCCCTCCCCCCTTCCGCTCAACTCACCCTTTCCTCCTCTCTTTTTCTCACCGTTATCCCTGTCGGCCGGCCATCTCTGATGCACAGCCCCCTCCTTTGCCCAACTCTGCTCCGCTCACACGACCCCCTCGACTCCTACTCTGCATGTTTCAGCTGAGTCTTGTTGCCCTTGGGTTCTGCATGTCCGCTTCATCAGCCATGTCTTTTGACCCTTTGGTCCTTCACCTTGGCTTAGGAGGAGGGAAGGGCTCCTCCTGTTGCTTCAACGCCCTGAATAGAATGGGCCTTCACTCGCCGATGTGGACGGGGTTTCCCCTGACTCTCAACCTCCATGCTCTGGCAACAGCTTGACGCGATCACGGTACCCGCCAGATCCTTGGATCCTGCCAGTGACTTGGTTGCCGCTATGATCGCGATGACCCACGGGCTTCCGCTGCAACATTGTCCGCTGTTCTGGGATCGGATGACGTGGCAAAGTCTGCCTTGCCTTTTGCTAGGTATACTGCATACGAACACATGCAGAGATCAGGCCAGCTGACCTTCCCTCGTATCCGTTAGCTCCGTCAAAAGTCCCTCGGTGCTCCCGAGACGACCACCGATGGAACACTGGCCTGCTCCGGCGTTGGCTGGTGAAGCCTCCTTGATTGGCATCATAGCAACGGACCGTCCTCTGACAAAAATTCCACCGACATGGGCCCCGCAATCTGCGACCACAATCGCGACGCACGCCAGCTCTCCATGTTGTGATTCGTGGCTCGACGTCATCTCCGTCTTTGTCCACCCTGGGTCTGTTCCTGTGCCCGCATGAAGATGGGATGATCCTTCCTCAATCTTGCAGGCTATGTCGAATCGTACGAGTTTCGGGTACACGGCTTTCCGCACCGCGGCTCGTGCCAGGGCTCCCGACGACGGACTATACCCAAAGGTGACGTTTATGAGTTAGGTGGTCCGGTGGTCTTACCTGGACGACCTGCTTGTCCGGCACGCACTGAGATTGGGTGCTTGCTCCCCTACTCTACTGCAGTTTTGCGATGCAACTCATCTCGGGGGGAACAGGAGAAGCGATGTTGGTGGAGGAAGAGGGGGCTGGTGACCAGTGAGAGGCGAGACACGAGAGTGTGGAGAGCGGAAAAGGGACGGGGGCCTGTTGGCCTCGCCAGCTTGTCCCCTACCGCCCACGACTCAAGGTGGGTGGAAAGGCTGCGCCTTGGAGAGGAGGCCCTGATATGTCACGGTGATGGCTTTGGCAAAACTGGCCCCCGTCTTCCTCTTCTCGTTACTCATACAGCTAAGGGTATGGAGGGCTCGGATTGTCTATAAAACGGTCACGGATTCCCCGGATTCCCCGGCTTCCTCACCATCTAACACTTTTCTTCCATATCTTTGTTTCCTACGTGACTGAGAAGATGGACCGAATGACTCGGAAGAAGACATACCGCTGGCCCTCTCCGAGCCGAGGTCACTCATTCCACCATTCTGCAGTCACTGGGAACTTCCAGTCCTCGACTCCGTCTCCTCACCAGCCAGTTCAAGGAGCGGCAACTCTGGCTCCAGCAGCGACTCAGGAAGCACAAGTGAACCCAGTCAGACCATCTCGGAGCCTGACTATGAAACCCCCAACGTTAAGTTTGGCGCTCCCCTAGTCAAGTCGACGGGCCCAGAGACAGAAATGCAGGGGACAACCTCATGCATCGCGCGATCCCTAGCACCTACTACGGGCCCAGCAATGGACGCCAACCGTCTTCAATCTCTTTTCTCCGAGTACGAAAGGGTCATCAGTGAGCAAACTGGGCCACGTCAGCGTAGCGTTTTAGCAAATCAAGGTATTATGAGCTCTTGCCTACAACCTGCACATGCACTTCTTACAGTATTTTGCAGAGAACGGAATGATCGAGCCTGAATGCCCATCACCCCTGCAGCAGGCGCCTCCCGAAGCGATCACGGTCTGTGAAAAGTCCGAGGTAACCAAGCCGCGTCGAAGCGGGCGTAAGAGGAAGTCTGCGCCACGTGCTGCTACTGCTTCTTCGTATCGTGTTCAAAAGAAGCGCATTGCGACTTGCACCAGTCGGGAATACGAGTTCTTACGCTTGGTGGAAGTACGAAAGGCATGGAATGGGTCCATCGAATATAAGGTCATTTGGAAGCCAACCTGGGCGTCTATTGACGATCTCCGGGGCAAACGGGCATTGGAAGAGGCCGAAGAGCTCATCGTGGATGAGTTCGGTCAGGTAGCGTGGAAAAGGAGATGGAAAGATCTGGCCATTTCGACATGGATACCGAGTCTGAGTAGAATAGCGAGGTTTTGCCAAGACAAGCCTATTCCCCTTGCTCCTTTCCCTTGACGGGATACGCTCAGCAGGTCCAAGGTCGTCTGGAGCAATGAGCATAGCCCTGCCTTCGTTGACACTACTGCTGCTGCTGCTGCTGCTGCTGCTGAGCCTCTGCAGCTCGGTCGTGTTATTGGTCGTAACTGCATCTGGCGCCAAACGCGTTGCAATCCTGGCGCTCCGCTTTGTCCTATCCGCTGTATCTTCAAGCTGTCTCGTCGCTTCCTGAATCTTGCTGCTACGTCTCGTGACGCGACTCGATTTTTTCGTGGGAGTTGGAACGGGCGGCATGCCCTGCCCCACCATAATCACGGCCTTGGCCGGCTCTTCCATGATGGAGCTCCCCAATCCTCCGGTGCTGTTCGTTCGAGGAGGATGTCGGTCGAGCTCGGAACGCACCGTTTGCAGTGTCGACTGTCGTTCGTCTTCCCGCAAGCGGTCCGCAGGCGGTGTGCGCGGCCAGAGTTTACCAGTAGCGGGCTATGAGCGATCCCGGCCCCGCGTCTAAATAAGCGTAGGCGCTAGTACCTTGTAAGACAGGCAGCAAGAGCACCCAGCCGAGCAGAGCCTCGGGTGCCAGTAACCGCCCAGTGCAGTGGCTGGTAGCCTGGGGCTACTGGTTACCCATGGTCAGAGGTTGGCGGCAATTTACAGGTGCCAGTCACCTTTAGACTCTTGTTCCTGGTCGCTAGATGCTGCTGGTAACCGCCCAGCCCCAGTGCCAGCAACCATTCATGCGTTGTTGCTGGTATCCCCTAGTGGCCAGTAACCGCGCGGTCACAGTTATCGCTCGGCTGTAGTGAAGGTTGTTCAGGAACATGTGGACAGAAGCCGGGCCAACAAACACCGGAGTCGCGGCCCGATTGCTTACAATCATGATCACCAGTAGCTAGGGCGGTTGCGGTAGCTCCCGATCAGACTCCTGCCCCATTCATTGTATGCGCTAGTCCGCTTGAGGGGAAATTTTGGGTAGTTGCAGTGGTTTGCTTGGCTGGAACTTCACGTCCCGCCAGTTCAGAGCAGTAAGGCTTCAAGCAGCAGGAACGGAAAAGATACGAAAGGCTATTCCACCACTTGCAAATGATCTCGTAGCAAGCCACGTTTCCTGCTACGAGCTCCAAACCCGTCTCTCTGCCGCTTCCTCTTATCCCGGGATAAATGGAAAAGCTGCTTGTGTTTGGGAGCTGGGAGAAGGTTGGCGCGGTCGAAGTCGACGAGCATGACGCGGCGGCGCTCGTCGTTCCAGAGCAGATTGGGTTCGCGCTCGTCACCGTGGTCGACACCCTCGGCCCAGACGGCCTGCGAAGAACGCCTCACCTCAGCCGCTAAGTCCGGCACCCCACCTCCACGGCCACTTCGCCGCCCCACGACATTAGCATCATGTGAACGACCCTTGCCCCGCCAGGAGGACGTAACCCTAGCCAGTCGGACGATGTCAAAGTGGACCGGCACCACCTCGCCCTGGAGCTTGTCGAGATGCGCGTAGATACGGCTCTCGTGCTCCAGGCGGTATAGATGATCCGACAGCGTTCCCTTGCCCACGAATGTGTAGCCATACGGCGCCAGCTCTAACTTGAAGAGCACCCCTGTCGCCCCAACCTTGCCTTGGCCGTCCAGCGCCTTGCAGTTTCGATAAGGATTCCGGCGCAGCCGCTCGCCCACTAGGCGGGTGAACTCGCCGGCGTCGATGGGGTGTCGGATACCGCCTTCGGCGGTGCGATGCGAGGGCACATTGGGGCAATTGGCGTCGAGATCCCAGCCTCTCTTGAGGCTCAACAAGCAGGCCTGTGTGCAGTATTGCCTGGTGGGTCCCGGATCGGATGTTTCGGTCTCCTGGTGGTCACAGCTGCCGCTCGATGGACATTGCCTACGCTCATTCGTGTTGGTTCTTGTCCAAGTCCGGGATGGATCACTCTTCGGACCATCGTCGTCGTCGTCCTCGTTTCTGCGACGAACTGCCCCGCCCATGCACGATGACCTCGATCGCAGTGGGTACACTCGGTTTGTTGGGCCTTCAACGGACTGGAACTCCGAGCCTTCCGTCCCTTGCGATGACGAGGGCGACGATGAATCCGTACCTTCTGCTCCGAGAAGACGCAGGTCCTCATACGGCTCCCCATTTTTCAGCTCTTTTTGCCTTCTGCAAAGCCGCGTCGAGTGAATTTCCCCTGAGCGCCTCGGATCGGAGACTCAACAGGCAAAAGCTGGCCAGTTGAGCTACTGCGGTATGAGGCACCTGTCTAGCCCGATCCCCAGCCGACACTTCGACCACCTCTTCGTTTGGCATGCATAGATGATAATACAACGTCTGTGGTTTATCTCGGTCCATATGAAGGAAGACCAAGGACTTACCGGCGGCGACATAGCCGTATGCAACCCCATACCAAACCATATAGTCGAAGACTTGAGTTAGCGCCATGGCAATCCGGGTTTCCTCCCTCTCTTGCTCCTGCAGCTTGGCATTGCTTTTGTATTTATTGCTGTTGTACCTTGCGATGACCTCCGAAAACAGTTTCTCTTTCGCAAGTGTGGCCTTGAGGTACGCCGCCGCAAACTTGTGAGCTGCCTTAAAGTCATAGACAAAAGCCATGCTCTCGTCACCGTCCAGGTGCGTACGTATGCCCCTCCATCAGGTTTCACTGGTGGCGGCTGAAATTCTCTTGTGGATGCGATTCGCATGGTGGTCCCGGCCGGCCGTCGTCGCTCCTGCCTTTCCTCGTTTGGGTGATCATCTCCAATCCGACTATCGCTCGGTTGCGTGAAGTCGCGGACGTTGTGACTGAATCGTAACATCGTAATCCGGTGCTCCCCATGTGAGCCCTCCTGATCCCAGACGGGCGCCAGGATTTCCCGCACGGGAACTTCAACTGCGATCTTCTCGAAGTACTCGACGGCGTTCTCATTACCAGCCGGATCGTAAGAGACAGTAGCTCCTAGGTTTCTGGTCGTACTCTCTTGATGAAATAGCCGACTCTCACCGCAGACCCTCCTGATCTCGTCAAAATGTTGGTGTCGCTGGTAGCTGGCGAAGGTGTTCCAAGGACGTAGCCACTTAGGATAGTATTTGTTGTCGACTCGCGTAGCGAGTCCCGTCGAAGACTTGGACTTGTCGGCGAACCCGAGTTTCGTATAGAGGTGGAAATGGCAGTTGTATAAATATTCCTCCAGCGTGGTCTTCTGGCTCTTGCGCCGCTCTTCCTCTTCTCGCGCCTTTGCTTCCTCTTCTCGCGCCTTTGCTTCCTCTTCTCGCACCTTTGCTTCCTCTTCTCGCACCTTTGCTTCCTCTTCTCGCGCCTTTGCTTCCTCTTTCTCCCGCCGTGCTTTCTTCAGCAAACGCTGAAGCTTTTCAATCTCCTGGGGAAGTTCGGACATTGGATGGAATAGGACGTGGAAATGTCGATTGGTGGCCTATGACGAAGTCGATTTCGAGGCTCACGCGAGGAGGGAATGAAGGCGCATTTACGGGATCAACCGTTTCAAGAGAAATCATCGCGGCCCGAATATTAGTCCGTCTTGCCCCGCTTCTCTCAACCAATGAAAAAATAAAGGGCTTGACTAACGCGCCTACCACTCTGACTATTCGGCCTACCAAAAAGTGGGTCAACGTGGCTGGTCAAAGCGCAGCGCCGATACCGCACAAATTAGGTGCGCACATTCCCCGCCTTGACTGTGCGCCCACCTCTACGCGCACCTGCCGCCTTCGTGTACAGTGAAGCTATTCGCACCCACGGGCACAAGGCAGGCAAAGGCTGCTTACGTAATTTCTACACATAGCCTGTTGCTGACCGTCTTCCATCTCCACGTCACCTCGAGACCCGTCTTCCGCAGCCTGATCTGACCGTTGGCCCGCAGCATCCCTGGACAGAGCGGATCTGAACCTAGGCTTATCCAGTCCCGGTGAGCCGGGCATGGGCATTCTCGCGCCGCCGGGCGAGACCGGTCTTGCCGTTTCATATCGGGGCATGTGTTGGTAGAGGCTCCGCCAGTGTAAATCAGCCGGGCTAAATGTGATGAATGCACCGGGACAACCAAGATCGTGCGTATATGCCTCAAGGTTCTGCCTCTTTCTGTTCCAAAAGGGGCGCGTACCGCGAATCGATACCGCATGCCTTGTGATTGAGTTGATCAGCGCCTGCGCCTCGGGATCCTCGCTGTGTTCGAGTGCCTCAATAAGCTGCTCTCGCGTGAGCGGTTCACGGCTGCCATCCTGTTGCTTCACGAAGAATTTGGACCGCGCACGTGCTTGGGGCCGCATCAAGGTGTTGAATGCGACAAAACGGAAGGTCGGATGGCGCGCAAAACGGCCGTCGTGCCACCGCATCGCGTGCTCGATGTACTTCTTGTACTCAATCGACCGCAGGCGAGGCTCCACAAAGTCGGCTCTGCCGTCTGGAAACAGGCAGGGGAATGCCAGGGAGAGTAGGGCATGAGATCGGCGTGTGCCGTATGTTGGGAAGCTGGAGCTCGTGCTGCGCCTGCCCTGGGGAGCCTGTGGCAAGGGGTTGCCCCGCATCCGCTTCGGATTCACCCGCGAGAATGGACCGTAGGGCATCATGCTCCGTATCCTTAGCCAACAGGTCCGGCACCGCAGCGGCGTCCTCCAAGTCAGGCTCTGCCTCCTGGTCTTCCTCCGCTCCAACATCGGCAGCCTCCACCTGGCTTTGGGGGATGGCATCCAGCACATTGCCGTCCTCAGGCAGTTGGCTCAGTCGCTCTTTGTCTATGACGATGCATCGATAGCCAGGATGATGATGGCGGAGGTAGTCCAGCCATACCATAACCGCCTAACGGCGCACACGGAACTGGCGGATAAATTGCCGGCTGAGGTTGGCGTGGGACGACGTATTAGCGGGACGCAGCAACACTGTGTTTAACTCCGGCGGCAGCAGCGGCAGCTGGTTGTATACTAAGCCAACCTCGCGGAGAAAGTGAACGACATGCCCTCGATACTTGTACTGCTGCCCTCGCACCAGCATGATGTTCACATGTACGTGGACGCGAGCAAATAATGCCTCTTCCGTAGGCGTGAGCTCAGGTAATCGAGCCGGAACGGGGCCAAAGTCAAGCTGATTTTCCGCAGAGAAGAAATATGGCTCGTCGGGGCCGCGCCTCTCATCCCTTCGATAGCAACGCGAGCAAATGCCGTCATAATCGATTTCCATTTGAAACCAATACTCGCGGCATCGGCTGCAGTATTCCATCTGGTCATTGTCAAGATTGGCCCAGAAGTCGCGCAGTGTGGCCTTATTGCGGTCCGTCAAGGGGCTAGCGTCAAGGTCGCCATTCCACACCGTATCTTGTGCATGGAAGGCCGCCACGTCTTCCGGTGGAATTATCACTGGACTTCGAAGACGTCGTTCGGTCTCGGCGATCGCGTTTCTCTCCGAGATTTTCTTGGCCGCCCTCCTGTACCTGGGGCGGGACCACGGCGACCACGCCTTGGCTCTGTGGACGGCTGAAGCGGCCGACGGTGAAAAGGGCTTAGATGCACAGAATCATCGTCCCTGTTCCCGTTCCCATCTTCCTCCCCAGGCTCAGAGTCCGGCTCGACCCCCAGCTGCTCGAGGTACCTGCGTGGTCGAGCGGGCGAAAGCAGTACGTTGGCATAGTCCTCGGCATCAATATCAGATTCGGAGAACTGATCACTGTCATCTCCTTCTTTAGACACCGTACCTCCGCCTTGAGGTCCACCCGCTCGCAGTCGATCTTGACTCGCATCTATGTTCCCTGGTTAGCCCAAAGGAGCTACTGCAAACCACAGCACAAGGATGGCTACCTTCTCCAGCAGCCTCCGAGCCTTGAAAGATGCCCAGCTGAGATATTATGGGCGTCAGTGACAGTCTCCCCTGCACGGCGTCGTGATCGATGGTCGCGCTGAATAGCGGCCAGCTTGACCCTAGCCCCGGCCGTAGAGGGATCATCTTGCGAGACCTTCCGGCCTTTGTGGAATCTAGCAGCCAGGTAAGAATAATTCATTCTGGTTGCGTTGCCTTCGGCAGTCGATGGATCAAAATGGGAGGCAACTGGATCGGTCGTTGGCTGCTCAGCAGGTGACGGGGCCAGCGCCCGGAAGAGCCGCGAGCTTTGTTGGGTTGCTGGAAGCGGCGTGCCTAACACGACGTGAGGCTGGCTGGTGCGCTCTCCGTATAAGCTGCTCACTACAGAAGGTTGTTTCAGCGTCTCCGGCGATGAAGGCTCGGTTCTGGTCCTCGAAGTAGGAGGGGACAGGCCAGCATCTCTGTCAGTTCGTTTCGGGGCAGATCTGTGGGGTGAAGTGGGGCGACGGGCCAGATTCTTCAATGCGAGGACTGCGGCTTTCGATCTGGCACGCTTGATCGGGTTAGGGAGGCATATTCGGAGTAGACTGTACCAACAATGTCAGGTAAATTGTGCTGGTCTCGACATGCTACGCAGGTTCTAGTTTGTTTGGCAGACTTCCCCTGTTAACGAAGTCAGCCGTCGGCTTTATTCGGTTGCAAGAAGGACAACGGGCTCCAACACCAGACGTAGGGCTATCATTTCCCCTAGAATCGTGATCCATGCATTGGGCTTGGTTGCGAGATAATTGTTCCGTGGCTAAGAGCCGCAACAGCAAATAAAGGGATGAGACAGTCACGTGCTCCCAAAGGGTTTGGTCCTGGGACAATAATTATCCGTTCCTGCCAATAGCCGAGCATATCTCCGGTTGCTGTGGGTGCCCAACGGAAATTGTCATTCATAGCGCACATGCTCTCGCGATACTAACCCCGCGACTCTTCATCTGTAACCTCTGCGACGACCAAATTCCACACAGTTTCGCCGTACGACCACGGGCGCCGTAAAGCTTCTGCGAGGGCTTCCATCTCGACCTCACGCTTTTACAAATCGGCGACGTAGGGAGAGGAGTTGTTGGCGTTTGTAGCAACCGTCAACTCAACATGTCAGAGGTGGGATCGCTGCGAGGCTTGCAGTCCAATAAACGCTAACATACCATCAGGGCGAAGTGACAGAGGACAAATTTGAGTTCATTCCGTGGCGATACTTTTCGCCAGTCGATTATTCCAGGACTATGTACTGGCATGCAGGGAGTGGCAGCATCGCCATCGGTTCTCGGGGCAAGGTCGCGCCAGAGAGGACAGATCAAGAGAACATAACTGGCCGAATACTTGAAGCCGGCTTAGGTGTATATGTAATGGAAACAAGTTTTAAATTGTTGCGGGTTGGTTAACTACGGACAAATACAGATGCTTATACAGCTTATAGCCCTCCGCGAAGCCCATGGGGAGCAGAACTTTGAAGTCGTTGGCATCCCTGCAGACCTGCATAATGTTGGCTCGCTCGAATGGTCCTGCTTTCCGCGCGAGGCGGCTGGAATCTACTCCAGCGAAAACGAAGTCGCCCAACATGTCAGCCATGCTCTCAAGAGACTCCATGCTCGCTTCGACGATATGCTTCCCCAGCTCGTAACACACCCATATCTCCAAGAAAAAATCGCTCCCTTCACATTTGGGCATATGTAAGTTGACCGAAAATGTAATATTGCCAGGGCCTTCTTGCCTCCGTTTGTCACTCCTTTTTAAGCCGACAAACAAATAGGTTTGCAGCGCAGTCTTCGCCTTGTCGAGGGCAGCACCTTCTGCTAGCTCGTAACCATCGGGTATAATGCTGCCATAAACCTCAATCTGCGATCCTAAGTTCTCCGACAGTTCCGCGGTAGTTTGAGGATAAAGCCAGATAGATATTTCTACTTTTTGTCAATGTCTGATCTCTCGGAAATGTGAGAATAACGTACCAGAAAAATACTGCTCCGCCAAATAGTGAGCTTTCATTCTGATGACGTCATGATAATCCAGCCAGAATCTGTGTAGCGGCATGTCTGAAATCTTCTCTCGCACACTTTGGGGAATACCTTCTCTGTGAAGGAACATCATAAGACCAAAGGGCAAAATTCGTGCCAGAGCTGTGAATTCTACCACATTTGTTGATGTGGGAGAGAGGCCAGAGAAGTCCGAGTCGTCAGCATAACGCATCGTTGCCACCGCGATGGCATTCTTCCAAGTGTCGCGGTGACGATAGTTCGGGCCTCTCTCCTCCGACAGCAGGAAAATGATCTCGCTTTCCCTTTTGTCCAATAATGCGCTTGCCTTCCTCTTTAGCTGGTTCGTCATTGGATGCGCGGCGGCTTGATGCACCGATGTGCCAGGTGTATGCGTGCACAATGTGGGACGCAAGACGTTGCGGTGCACGAGACGTTGCGGAGCGCAAGGCATGACGGAGCGCAAGACGTTGAGAGACGAAAGGGTCCTTCTTCGCGTCCTTCCCCCGCAAATGCCTTGAGGAACGAAGAGACGAAAGGATCCTCCTTCCGCCCCCTCCCGCGCCCTTCCTAGGCGGTCCTTTTTTTTTTTGCCTGAGGAACGGAAGGTTCCGAAGGTTCTTCCTTCCGCCCCCTCCTTCCCACCCCCGCGACGCACGGTTCGCTCCCTGAGCCCGGCTTCGCAAGCCCCCCAACATGGCCACGAAAAGTCACACATCTCTTCTCTTGTCTTCTCTTGGTCTCGATGTCTCACTCCCCGGTTGCTGCTCTGGTTGCTTTTTGCCTTTTTTTTCCATCCTTTTTCCAGATAATAATTCCCCCGCTGCCCCTCACCGCTCCTCCCGCCAGATCTCCGTACCAACCCCAAGACAGGCCATAGGGAATTAGGGACTTCGGGAAAGTTGCGACACCGATGTGAATTCTGCTTCTCGTACGTGCCTGCCGGGCCAGCGAGGAAGCCGCCATGTGACTGTAGTAGACGCCGCCCTCTCGACGGCCGCCTCGATGCGATGGTGGGTTCTGAAACCTGAGACAGCGTCGCCGAGGTGTGCCGTGCCATCCGCGATGTGGCCTGCGTAAAAATCGCCCTCGTCTGGGCCTTCTCGATACCGGCCATGACCGCGTCGTTTGCGTCTTTCGTCTTTGCGTACGTCCGTCCCCGTCTTCGCTGCCCATATCTTTCGACGACTACCTCGACGATGCCCTGCCAGGAGCCGGTCACGATTCCGATCGATAAAATCCGCCGCACGCTAGAGGATCTCGATAGCCAACGCATCCAGAACAGAGCCCGCCGAGAGCCGGTCAGAGTCTCCCCTGAGGAGGTGCGGCGTACTTTAGAAGTCCTAGAACGCCGGAACACCCGACGACGTCCACCTCGACAACATAGGGTTACGGTTCCGAAAGATGAGCTCGCCCGTACGATGGCCGCCATCACGCAAGAACAGGCCGACGAGCGTTCACGGGCAAGAGCCACAAGGCTACGAATGCAGGAGCAGGCGGGTGAGCCCGGTCGTCAAGGGCCCGAAGTGATGCCGCCGACCCTACCACTGGCCATTCCCGAGGGCATCGTCCGTGTCCCACAGATTCTCCCGTCTGAAGACTGCCTGAGGCTTCGACCTCCGCCGCCTGCACGACCGATTCCGCACACTCCGTCCCCTCGAAAACGCGTCAGGGACCCACAACTGGAAGGACTTTCGACTCCGCCGCCCACGAGGCCGGACCGACCCCGGAAAAGAACGAGGCCGTCGCAGGAAACCGCCCCGCTCCAACGAGAGTCCCTCGAGGCCATTCTGCGATACCATGAATCTCGTTTTCGTGACAAGGAGAAGGAATCGGTAACAAGATCTTGGTGCAAAGAGGTCCCGCTTCCCCTCCAGGTAGAGACTGCGAAGTCCTTCCACCAGGCATTCACCGATGAAAGGACGTTGCCGATTTCGCACTGCAGCTTTTGCTACAGGAAGCAACCTCCGTCCGAGCTCACCACGATCCGCTGGAGGACGCACTTGTCGCCCTCCTTGCTGCAGGCCACGACGGCGCTCCAGGAGTGCACGGAATGTTTTCCCGCTGGCGACGACGCTGAAGCTATGGTTTGCCACGAATGCTCCGCTGCTTTGAAGAAGGGGAAACTGCCGAAGACCTGTACCGTCAACAACATGCACATTGGATGCGAGTATCGGTATCCCGAAGCACTTGACGGCCTCTCTCCCGTTGAGGAAAGGCTGATTGCCCTGCAGGCCTCATTCGGCTACATCACAGAGTTCACCGTCGACAACAAGACCCCGTCAGGCCTCAGCTACCGGAAGCACGTCAAGGGCCATTTCGTGGTCTTTCCGAACAAGGTCGAGGACCTCGTTGCCACAGTCCTCCCTCGCCCTCTTTTGGAAACCATCGAGAACATCCACGTTTCTTGGAGTGGCTCCAGCAAACCTGGCGCTGCCGACGTTGGCCTTCTTCTCCAAGTGCGCAAGTCCCGCGTGACGGCCGCCCTGTCATGGCTCCAGAAGAACAATCCGCTCTACGAGCACATCGCGATCGATCATGGCGAGATAGATGACTGGCAGTACGCAGACGGCTCCAATGTCCCTATGCTCATCATGGACAGCATGCAGCGGGACGAGCCGTCCGTTGCTGAGAAGACGCAGACAGACCACATAGTCCCAGATACCGATCGAGGTTTGGAAGATAACCGGTTCACGAGCATTGAAGAGATTGTTGCATCGGCGCAAGCTCAGTCCGGTCACGACTCCAACCTTCCCGGCGGCACTCTGCCGAACGAACAGGACCTCCCCTTGTCGGGTGACGCCCGTACCTCCACTCCAGGACCGGAGGATGCCGACGGCGATGGTGACATTATTCTAGAAACGACATCGTCCGGAATGTTTCCTCTTGACGGGCCAGCGGCTTTCGAAGAGGCCGATAAGCTTTCATTTCTAGCCGACGCTATCCAGACGAGCCGGACTCGAGGTGCCGACGAGGCTGAGCCGTGCGCGATGCATGTCCAGGGCACGGGAGCGCAGCTGTACATCCTGGTGGAACGAGGCGCAGAGTTTACGTACAGCCTGCACGAGGACTTCTTCCTGCGCACCTTCCCGAAGCTTTTCCCCTGGGGCAGAGGTGGCCCAAAGGCGCTGCACGCGTCGGACCTCCAGCAACAGCAGGCTCCGGCGGCCGCCGTGCTCTATGTGAACCACTCGCTCAGTTACTTGGCCAGATACGTGTTGCAGCGACATGGGTGACGGTTTGCCAGCCACCCCATCTTTTGCTTTCTCGTTTTCAACATCCTCCTCCGCTCTTCTAACCGCCGCATCAGCATGGTGCGCACGACAAAGGGTTCTTTCGAGAGGGTTGAACGAGTTTCCGAAACCCTGACAGGGGACCGACTGAAGAATGCCGAGGACGAGATGCGAGAAACAAGGAAGACGACGGACCCCGACGTGGCGTTCCTGCTCCGTGAGTTGTCCATCTTCGGCCATGCCCAGCCGCTCTCCAACGAAACGCGACTGCTCATGCGCAGGAAGATACAAGCAATTAACATCTGGACTGGCACGCCCGCAATTTGGTTTCCCATCAACCCCAACGACATCAACAGCCCGGTCAAGATGCGGCTCTCCATCCACAGGCTCCACGATTATCACGCGGCGAAGGACGTATTGGCGGATCTCCGGGGGATATACGACAGGATTGCCCTCAGTATCATGGATCCGGTCAGCTCTGCCATCTTCTTCCATAGAGAAATATCTTTGTTCTTCGAAAAATACGTCCGAACAGGCCAAGAGTCGATCTTCGGGAAGGCGAGTCACTATTATGCAACGGTGGAGACGAACGATCGCGGTAGTCTGCACCTGCACGGACTCCTGTGGTTGCACGGCAACATGGAGCTGCCGTCGCTCATCGACGACATCGCCGACCCTCGAGAAGAAGAGTATCGTGCCCGAGTGGTGCGCTACGTGGACTCGGTCTTCCACGAGTGCCTGGATGAGGACGCCGGGAAGGCACTCCGCCAGGAGCGGAAGCCGATCCACCCCGTCGAGGAGATGATCAACGACACCGAGGCCCTGTCTGCGGCCTTTGACGCCGAGGCCAACTTCATCGCGCACTGCTGCCAGGTCCATTCCCACACCTACACCTGCATCAAGTATTCTCTAAAGGGCCTCACTAACCACGACGCGGACAAGTACAGGCGAACGACTTGCCGGTTTAAGGCACCCTGGAAGATTGTGGACGCGACGAGGCTGAACGACGACAACCTACTCACCATCCGTCGCAACCATCCGCTCGTCAACCGGTATAACAAAGCGATGGCGGTTGGCCTCCGCCACAACCACGACGTATCGATGATCTTGACGAGGACCAAGGGCCTGGCCATGGTATTTTACATCACCAACTATGCTACGAAGTTGGACACGCCATGTGGAGACGAATCGCCCACGCGGCCGGAGTCTTCCGACAGCTTCGCGAAGATGCCGTGTCGAGGCGTGACGCATCAGCACCAGCCGATCAAGGCGCCCAGCGACCTGCCGTGCTGAGCCAGAGCCGTCGGTTTTTGATGAGGGTGGCGGATCGAATATTTTCCGAGAGACAGCTTTCGGCCGTGGAGGTGTACGACCATATGCTCGGCTAACAGACAGACTTCACCAAAGTCTCGCACTGGTCCTTCCTAAACCTGAACGCACTGTATTGGGCGATCTTTCGGAGGTGGAAACACCTCCGCTGCCAGGCCGGCGCGGAGACGGAGGGAGAGGAGCCACCGGAGACGGTGCAGCTCAGGGAGGGGGCCGGACCCTGTTGTGCTTGGATGCTTACGCCTACAGAGGCCACGTGCTGAGAAATATATGCCTCGACGACTACATGTCCATGGTTACCATGGTCCGTACCCGTGGCCGGGACGAAGACGAAAACCACATATCCCTTGAGGGACCCTCTCCAGACCAGCGTGGCTGGTTTCAGAAACTTCGCCGACCCCACGAGTACGCCGTGCCGATCTTTCAAGGTTTCATCAGCGACGATCACCGGGACGAGCACCCGGTCTATTTCAGACGGTACGCTCTGAGACCGCATTGCTAACTCTCCGAACGTGCTCTCACATTCAGTGCAGCAACTCTGTTCTCCATCTGGCCCTATTCGTGCCTTGGGAGCGATTTCTTCCCACCATGCAGGGCGATATCGCCGATATATGGCTCGGATACGAAGCTTCTCTCTGTCGCAGGCTGCGTTTTCGCGTCTCGAACATCTCCCTTCTTAGCAAATCTGCCGAGGACACGCGCAAAGACGTAAAGCTCTGGGCCAGCCGATCAGAAGGCGACGACACCGTCGACGTAGACTTTCCTCGATGAGGACGACGACGGCGACGAGCAGGCAACAGCCGCCGAGCATCATCAGAATTTCGCGGCTTTGCTCCACACTATGCATAATGCCGTGAGAGATTCCGATGCCACGAGGGGTTCCCCAGTCTTGGCGCAGTTCATTCGGGATCTGGGTGAAGAGAATTTGGCATCAGGGGATATGCCTTTTGTACAACGCCCCGAGCGCTTCTATCACCAGATCCGCCTCGCTCAAGACGCTCCCCTATGCCACTCTCAGACCTTTCGGTAGATGATGTCCAGGCCGCTGCGAAGGCCCAGGAGCTGCTCCATCTCCAGATGCTGGACGAGATTGAGACTGGTCCACAGGGTAGCCGTCATCACGCGCCTAACGCCGACGTAGACGATGTGCTTGCCCGCCACTATGATGCTGAGGTTCCGCTGCCGCATCGAACTCAAGGCACGGCCATACAGGGTCCGCGAATGCTTGTTGATGTTAATATAACAACTAGCTTCACGAAATTAGGCCACCTTGCGACGTCAGAGTATAGCCTCAACCCTCTGCAGACAAGGGCCCTTCAACTGGTGTGCAGGTTCTTGGACACACACTCCGCACATCCCGATTCGGCGGGTCAACATCTCCAGTACACCGGAGGCCCGGGTGGCACGGGCAAATCTAGGGTCGTCGAGGCCCTGAAATTGGTCTTTTCCGCAAGGGCACAGGCACATCTTCTCCAGATCACGGGAACCTCGGGGAGCGCAGCGGCACAGATCGGTGGCACGACCTTGCATTCCGCCTGCGGACTGGATACCCGCCGCTCCGCCGACAAACGAATCCCACTTTTCTCGGAGGCCAAGAAGTGGGTGTGGAAGCAGAAGCTGGTCCTTGTGATCGACGAAGTTAGCATTCTTGGAGGCACTACTCTGTACGAGGCCAGCTGTCGTCTCCAGTCGCTCCGCGACTGCCCAGATAAGCCCTTTGGCGGTATTCCTGCTGTTCTGTTGATGGGTGACTTTTATCAGTTCGCCCCGGTACGTGGACGAGCCTCCTGGTAGACCGAATGGCGGATTTCGCCTCCGCCCCTGTGAACCAAGCCACCATTTCCCACCACCGCGGTTTCCGTCTATGGCTGATGTTCAAGACCGTGGTTCTTCTCGAAGAACAAGTCCGCGCACGCGACGACCCTAAGCTAGGCGCTCTCCTGGATCGAGTGCAACACGGTACTCAGACATGACAAGATCTGGACCTGCTGAACACAAAGCTGATCGACCGCTCCGATATTACCTTCAGTAACGGCTTGCGCGCCATAACACCTCTTAACCGCAACCGATGGAGCCTCAATATGGAAGCCGTTGTCGACTGGGCGCGCTTCAATGAGAGGCACATCTCCGTCTTCGTGTCAACCCACACTTGGAGAAGAGCCGGCCTGTCCCAATATGAGATCGCACAGGCGATCGAGCAAGGGGATGACTCCAAATGCAAAATCCCAGGCATCTTATTCTACGCCCAGGGGATGCCTGTTGTTGTCAACAAGAACTTATACACTGGTTTGAAGGTTGTCAATGGAGCAGAGTTTACTGCGGCAGACATCATCCCCAATCCGAAACACCCAGGATACCATCTTGCGGACGACGTCACTATACACTTCGGTCCACCGCTAGGCATCTTATTACAGTCAAGCGACACGGCGAGCTTGGCAGTCCCCGTCCTGCCAGCGGAGATGGTGCTCGTCCGCCCTATCTCGCACATTCTCGAACCAACTGATTCTCACTTCAAGTTCTTGTCGACGAAATGCATCCGACGGGGTCTGCCGGTTGTCCCGGCCCTTTTTCTCACCGATTATATATCTCAGTCGAAAACCTTTGCCAAGGTCCTCCTAGAGCTGCGGGGAAATCGCGTGACCAATGGCGAACCCTCCAAGTGCGATTTTACCAGTCTCTACGTTCAGTTGCCCAGGGGTACGACCCTTCGAGGCATTAAGCTTCTCAGCCCTGTGCGGCCCCAAGACTTCATTGGGAACAAACTGGACCAGACTATGGTAGATGCGATGCAGAGGCTCAAGAACCTGGCCTCGGAGACGAAACGGATTTACGAGAGCCTGGGTTGTGATGCATCGGGCCATGCCATCTTGTGAAGATGTCAGCTCGGAATCGGCGCCATATTGCCCGCGTCTATCAATCGATGGATAAACACCAGCGGGTAGAGGGTTCAGCATGATGTCTACTGCCTGTATTTTTCGCACTTCCCAAGGGCATTCATCTTAATGTTACTCTCAGCAAGCTGAGAGCGCGGGCGGAAGGTTAAGGGCAGGCACAATTGAGTCCAAACGATGATGCATGTTTTCTATCTGTCTGTGCGACGCTGAGGGGGTATTTATACGAATAGATACCTCTCTGGGACCCATGGCGGCCTTGAATCAGGACCCACGTATCACGATTGGGGCAATGTTCCTCTGCTGTATCGATACCCGACTCAAGTCCCTGTGTATGACCTGCCTCTTTCCTAGGGTTTACATGTGCGTGGATTTGACCGTCAGTCTGCTCCCTCTGACAGGATCTTTCTACACCGTCGCAGGACTCCTACAACCGTTACATATTACCAAGCACTGCCGATGAGACCAGATCCACTCCAACCTCCCAACGCAACTTAACTCAAGAACGTGTTGGACATCTGCGCCTTCCGGTCGGCACGTCCCGACCGTGAGAACGTAGGGGTAAACGTTTTGCCTCTTTCCAAAAGCGAGAAACCATGACGATGTGTCAACAACAGCAAAGCGGGTCCCCAAAGAGTCGAGCCTTACTTCTCCAAGACTTCCTCGATGTCCACCCGGGAAATGGAGAATAAGACCGGTCACGCCCATAGCATCTGTAGCAAGACAGGGCGTGATTTCCTCCAGATGGCCCAAGCAATGCGACGAAAAGAAGAAGCTCTCCGTAGAAACATACACTCTATTAGGGGATGGCTGGGGGCACACGAAAGATGGGTTCTCCACCTTCGGAACATCAGTTGCAAACGCAAGAGCCCCGATGCCATCGGCTGAGGTCTCGAAGTAGACCCGACTGAGCTGTCGGCTAGGTCGTTCGATCAAATGATATGGCCTCTGCCCTGCCTTCAGATAGGCACCCGCCACGAAGATTCGGTCCTTATTCGTCACAAACTAATTTTGCCCACGGTTAGGTTCTCAGGCGATAACTATTGGATTGCTGACTTACCCCGATTGCCCATTCCCGTGGTAAATATCCCTTCCGCTGCCATATCTCTGTGATGAATTCGTCGCTGTCTACCGGCATATATAGCCTAGAACCATGTGGGAATGATCGATAGCATGCCAAGCCTTCACCAGCTATATGAGCGTGGATGTAGACTAGGCCACAGTCCCAAACAAACGAGTAACCAGTGGCCTCCGGGTGGTTGGCAAGAAAAGACGCCATACGATCAGGCACCGGATGCATGACTCCATTAGTGAAGTAATGGAATCGGGGCTTCTTTGGTTCTGGAACGTTCCATGCCACCCGTCCGAGTTTGCCACGCGCCAACCAGCGAAGTTTGACACCCTGATGTATGATTAGCTGGATTGCTGCGCCTCACAGACATACAACTTACATCCGTCTCTACATCGACGTTCATTCCCCTGGAATCAAGTCGGATAGTCCGCCACCAAGTCCCTGGCCTTTCCTCTACAACCTTGTCGCAGAAATTGGCTAGTGACAGCTTCGTGATTCCCAGATTATTCTCCGCCACGAGCAGACACTCCGGAGCACTGTCTCCATCGGAAGTAAGCAAGACGGCTCCATGCTCTTTGGGGGAGTTAGAAAGCCACGAAACATAGCGGATCCCCTCATACTTGGTGAATCCGCACCACATTCTCTCAGTTGTTGTAATGCTGCTAATGGATGTACCGATGTAGCCAGGCAGGGTCCCTCTAGCTTTCGCTGACGCGTACGTCTGCAAAAGGTCGTCTGCGATATAATACCAGAGCTCTGAGCTCAAATTGCGCACTCGAGACACGTGATACGCCTCGAGTTGGGGCGTTAAACTAGATCGCAGCCATTGGCGACGTCTCTGTTCTTCGTCCTCGGTGGTCTCGTGGGTAAAAATTGTCACACGAAGCAATGCTTGTAGGCAGAGCGGCTCTACCATTTTGCGGCAGTGCACATGGCAAGCATGATGGTGGTCTGGACAATCGATATCGCTGCAGATAATTGGCGCCGGCGCTCGACCCGCACGTGGGTCATGATGTGGTTGTCTTTCGACTTGCGAGAAAGTTAGTTCCACGTGTTAAAGGGCGGATGGGGAGGCAAACGTATGACTATTTTGTCTCTCAAATTGATCTTGAACTGGCAGAGTGCACAACGTGACGCAGCGCATATCTGGATGGACATGGTCGTGGACGAGGCACTGACAGGACAGAAACATTGTGCAAGGCGGAACGAGCTTTAAGAACGAGGGTGAGTGGGTCGGGCACCCAAAAAAAGCAAACAACCCCAGATGACAAGTGGCTGTCCATTTCAGCCGTAAGTTACGATAGGCTGACTTTACATTGATCGAATAAGTTTTTTTCTCAGACAGGGATTGATAAGTTTGCTCATACCTGATTGACCGACTTTTTGTATGGCTCCAAAGTAGGCTGGAGTGGCTGGTGTCAGTAGATAAGTGGATATCGGGACTCCACCAATTTCTTTCCGGACGGAGAGCTGACTTTATGGAGCTTCGCTTGCGGTCGATTAGGTACCTGTCGATGGACTGTTATTCTGGTACTCATGAGGTAGGGGCAGCACAAGAAGGGATAAGGATGCATGATCTAGCTAGAAAGAAGCGGCCACAGGGCCCTATTTATGCCGTAGTCAGAGGGACCCTCAGGTGACTTACATAGGCACCAAACTGGCCCCATACGTGAAGTCTTTATGGGTCCCCGATACATGGCCTCATAATGATCCTTCACGTGGCCCTCCCTTGATCCTTCAGGTGACCTACTAACAGCGGTGCCTATACTAGCCGACAGTACCCGTGCCACGCCCCACTTATTTCGCGTTCGTTCCTCACCAGCTCAGCTTATTGGGCCTCGTTGATTATCCAAGCCTTTACCAGCTAAGTCCACAAGCTGTTCAAAAAGTGCATTCATACTTTCTTGGCACTAGCTGTTAAGAGTTTCACTGTATTCACCACACAGCTGCTAACGAGGGCGTATCAAACCCTCGCTCAGCTTCGGGCTGAGGGCGGCTATGGCACCCAATCCCACGGACCAGGCGCGACTGATGCCCCAGGACCAGGAGCCCAGGACTCCTACGAACGCTTCAGGAGCCAGAAGCGCTCCTTCGGCAGGCCCCACTCGGCGGCCTCGCCGAACTGCCGTCGCGACGACGCACTCAGCGACCCGACGAACCTCCACTCACCACCTCGAGCGGCAACAATAGCGACAAAACCGACAACGGTCATACCGACGCCGACCGCCAAGATGATGTGATGGGAGACGCAGCAACCGAAAATGAGACAGACAAACCCGATGACTTCCCCGAGGCCCGGGACTCATCAGTCAGTGTCGCACACGTGGCAGAGAGACTCATCGCCAGCCAGATGGAAGCACAGCAGGCAAAGCTAGCCGTGTTCCGTGCCTTCTGCACGGCCTTCGACCAGACGGCTGCCCGATTCACGTCGGGACACTCGCTCCGCTTCGCCAACGAATTTTCACGTGACTTCCTCAGCTACTGGGACAACGCTCAGCGGCGCGCCGACGCGCATCGGCAAGAACACCAACAATCGCCGCAACCAGACGGCTGCGGCACCAACCTATGCCGCTATGGCTCGGAAGGGCATGGCGCAGACAGGGGGCTCTGTGCCGGCCCACCCGCAGCCGCAGAAGGCTCCACCGGTCAAACCGCCAAAGAACGACCTGCGCGTCTTCGTCCGGCTCGGAGACGGGTCCCCCGCGTGGGGCCATCAGGGACACGCAATCAGAGCCCACGTTGCCAAGACGCTCAATCTTGGCATAGAACGCATGCCACAAGTCGCCCGGGTCAAGACAGGATGGGCTATTCGTGTCTCAGATCAGGAGGCGAGGGACTTACTGATCGAAAGGCAGGGCGACTGGGCGGCATGCCTCGGAGCGGTGACGGTTGAAGGCTTCCAGAAGTGGCACACGTATGCGGTAGCTGACTGTCCCAGGCGGCTCACAGATATCTGGGGGGCCGCAGTAGACTATGACCAAGCTTTCAGAGAAGAGGTCAGGCTCCAGACAGGCTTGGAGCCGGTAGATGTGCGCGAGGCCAAGGGACGGGCTAAGGGCTCGGACCAGCCCACTGTGACAATGATCGTGTCGTTCGAATCAGCGATCCAGAGGAGATAGCGGCTCTTCGGTACCAGCCGACTGGCGCGACTAATCACCAAGAACCGCCAGCCTACCCAATGTGATAATTGCTGGGACTACCATTCCCGTTTCACGTGCGACCGAAAACAGGCGTGTCGACGCTGCGGGGGAAAAGACCACGACGGTAACGACTGTGACCGTCCGGAGAGGTGCGCCAACTGCCTCGGACCCTTCTCAGCAGACCACAGTCAGTGCCCTGCCAGACCTAGGCGCTCACGTGGCCAGCTCGTGCGGCTTTCCAAGACGGAAAAGCAAGCAGTAAGAAAGATGGGGACCCAGCTATACCGGCAGACCGACATGGAGTTTGAACGGCTTGTGTCAACCGCCTCCCCTCGACCGTCTGACGGACCGAACATCTCACCCTGTGCAAGAGCCGTCGAGGCCCGCCTCGGCAGGCAACAAGACCAACATCAAGGTCAAACGCAGCAGCCACCGTCCGGCAGCTCGCAGGCGCACGACCCCATAGCTCTCCTTCCCCCGCAGGACGAGATAGTAGTCGCAACAAGCAGCGCAGAGTCTCCGAAGAAGAGACGTCGACAGGACACGCGCCCAGATGCCAATGAGTTGTAAGCCCACAAGATCAAGAAGCCGAGACGGGAGGACGATTCGAGTCCTCCAGGCCAATGTGGCCAAAGCAGGGCTATTTCACAGCATGGCCCTACGACTAGCGGAGGCCGAAAATTACGATGTCGTGCTTATCCAGGAACCAAATGTCTGGATAGAAAGGAAGAGCGAGATATGCAGGACCCAGACACACCAGGCTTTCCACGTCTTTGCGCCAGAACGAACGTGGGAGCCAGGCCAGGCCCCGAGAGTGATGTCATACGCCCGTAACGACACGAATATCCGGGTCGAGCAGATCTGTCCGACACCTACGCGCGACATACTCTGGCTCCGGGTCAACGACATCCTCATCATCAACTTCTATCGACATGAGAGGACCCCTGGGCCGCTTGATTACCTCCTCCACCAGCAGGAGGTGCCTGAGAGATGCCTTGTCGCGGGCGACTTCAACGCCCACCACTGCTCGTGGCAGCTCGGAGTGCGGACTGCCAGACACGGGGCGGCGATTGCCGAATGGGCAGCGCATCGCGGGCTTGGGCTGCTAAACGCGCCGGGCAAGGCCACGCACGTACGAGGCAACACAATAGACTTGGCGTTCGCTAATATCGCGGCGGCCGACGCGCTTATAGAAGAACACCTATATACAGGCTCGGACCATTTTACGATCAGCATCACGCTTCCTGGTGAAACCATCTCTCCCGCGAGAACTGGCAGACCAAGGGTCAGCTCGGAGGAAGAGATGACGCGATTCGAAGAGCTCGTGAGAGACGGGGCCACCGCGCTACCCCGGCCGGCAGCTGAGCCCCAGCACCTAGAGAGACTGGCTGAGGCATTGTCTTACCTGCTTCAAGAGGCGCCCAATGCCACAGGCCGGCGGCCTAGAATGAAGACGAGAGGCACCGCATGGTGGAACGACGAGTGTGCCGCGGCGGCGGCCCAGCTGAGGGCTATGAGGAGGATATTTCCTACAGGGCACGGCAGGGAGGTCCAGGTAGCTCGGCAGGAGCTACGCCAGGCGGTGTGACGAGCTAAGAGACGCTTCTGGCAGAGGGTATTAGAAGGCGCCGAAAGTAACCAGGACGTCTATAAGATCATGCGATGGTCGAAGAGACCGAGTCCATTCCGAGCCCCGCCTATCAAAGTAGGCGAGACGGTCTACGAAACCCAGGCGGAGAAGGCGAAGGCACTTCGGGCCGAGATTCTAGAGAGGCGCGTGGCCGCGGACGACATCCGAGACCCCTGGATTCCGGAGGTCGCGGCCCCGCACAGGTCCGTCGATTGCAGCGTCACGCTCGCCGAAGCGACGCACGCATGCACCTCTACCGGGAACACCTCTCCGGGAGTGGACGGCATCACAGTCCGGATGCTGCGTCGGGCCTGGAACCACATCGGCGAGGCTGTGAGGGAGCTGTACGAGGGCTGCCTACACCAGGGCTACCACCCGACCTGCTTCCGCGTTGCGAAGGTGGTGATGATCCCTAAGCCGGGCAAGAGAGACTTGTCTACCCCGAGAGGCTGGAGGCCCGACCTCCGCTGGCTCGGTGTCTGGTATGACAGAAAGCTCTCGTTCCGAACGCATGTGGAGAAGTGGGCCGCAAAGGCGAAGAAGGTCGCCGAGTTTATCCAAAACCTCTCGAACACGCGGCGCGGAATTCCTCCTCGGTCGACTCGACATGCGGTCACGGCCTGCGTCCTCCCGATCCTCCTTTATGGGGCCCACGTCTGGCATCCAGGGACGCTCCGGCCGGTGTGGGGATCGTGCCGGCTGATCCCGGCGCGAATCACTTACTTGAAGGATAGAATCCAGCAGACGCTGAACGTGGCGATGCGCGCTATCGCACCTGCATGGCGCACCACGCCAATTGCGGGCCTCCACCGGGAGACCGGCATACCGCCCGCCACGCTACTTCTTACGGACGCTCTAAGGCGCGCTGCGGTGCGCCTACGCTCTTTGGATGCACGGCACCCGCTGACGCCCCGCATGAGCATCCTCCCAACGCCTGGCCGGCAGTTGATGCAGGAGTATGGCATACGGCCACCCTGCGCGGCCCGAAAGCAGCAGGCCTCGCGACTGCTCCGCCTTCACCAAATGACGGCCCAAGCGCCGAGGCCCAGACTTCAACCCCCAGCCCCTCCGCAGCCGGATCCGACAGGAGGCTTAGACAAGACCCAGGCGGCGAGGAGTTTCCGTGAGTGGCTCCGGGCATGCTCCGAAGATACGCTCATCGTCTACACTGACGGCTCGAAGAGCGAGGACGGCGCATGCGGGTATGGGTACTCGGTCTGGCTAGGCCCAGACGAAGTGGTCTACGGCAGCGGCCGGATGCCACTGGCCGAGGTATACGACGCCGAGGTCGAGGGCGCTCTCAAAGGACTCCAAGTGGCGCTGGCTTGGGCCCCGACGAGCCTGGACCGGCAACGCCCGATCGTGATCTGTCTTGATAATACGGCTGCCATACGGGCCATACGGGGCGGCCCGTCGATCTCGTCGCAAGCGGCGGCGGTGACATTCGTCGAGGTCGCAGCTCGTCACGGAGATGTCAGCACGCGCTGGTGCCCCGGCCATGAGGGTATAATCGGCAACGAGCGGGCTGACGGGCTGGCGAAAGAGGGCTGCCGATCTGACGGCCCGGACAGGCCTCCGACCTACGCGTTCATCAAGAGACAGGCAAAGGCTGCGGCCAGTCGCGATTTCCAAGACTGGTGGGCCGCGGCGACCCCGAGCAGCTACAAGAGCCTAGAGCTCAAGGCCTTGCTCGGGTGCCCGCCGGAGCTGCACACCAAACGACAGCACCTCCGCCACCTGCTTGCCGCAAGGAGCGGGCACGGAGACTTTGCCGACTATCATGAGAGGTTCGACCACCAAGAGGTCCGGATTGAATGTTCCTGCGGGAGGAGAAAATCGCCGACACACATCTTCTACTGCCGGAAGATTAGCACTCGACACCGCCTGAGGTTGGTTCCGACGGCGGATGAGGCCATCAGCCAAGCGCTAGGGCGGGGCTTTGACCGGTTCCTCGGGCTGGTGATGGAGACGGGGTTCTTTGATCGAATCTGCCACCGCCACTAGCACGGGGCTGCTGCCCAGTTAACACTCGTTCTCTCTTCTTTTCCTTTGTTTCTGCCTGTAGGCCCTCGAGGGGCCTATGGTCCAGCTGACCGTGTGGGTTTCTCAGTCACTCGGCTCTGACCGAAGACTGACTGCTATTACGGCTTTGCCTCCGAGCCCGGAACCCGCTGACGGGAGAAGGGACCTGAGAATCCGAGCGGCCACCGAGCCCAAGAATTGCTGGATAGGGAGGTGGAAGAAAGGAACGCGCGACGGGTTTCCGGCGAGCACCCTCATCTTGTACTATACCTAGCCTAGCACGTCTTTTGCCCTTATAGGGATGTCCCAGACGGTAATCAATACTACTACTACTACTACTCAGCTTATTGGGGCGTGGCACGGGTAGTCAATGAGAAGAGCATGCTGGGTCTGCGACAGCTGTCATGGATTGATGACCGTCTCCGTGAGGCGTTTCCGAATAGGAATGAGGAGTTCTTTGGTGGTCTTAGAATCCTCCTGGACCCTGGTTGGCGACTTCTTTCAGCCCCCCCTGTACTGCAGAAACCTCTTTATTACGGCAAGGAGGTGCAGGCCTAGAGATCAAGGGCAGGAACGAATATCGGCGCCTCGACAAGACGGTTTTCTTGGAAGGTTGCCCAGCGTCAGCGCGGCAAAGACCAGGAGGCATTTCGCACGGCCCTCGAGGAATTGCGACTGCACCATCTATCCCAGGAGTCCTGGAAGCTCCTCTCCAGCCGTGTGCAGGCGAAGCTGGATGATCAGGAGGTTGCCAGGTTCGTCAATTCCCTACGAGGATATGCCACGAAAGACGGGGTGAACGAATATAACCACTACCACCTCGACCGCCTAGGCCGGCCTGTCATCCAAGTCATGGCTAAGAACGTTGGGCCCGGCGCTGCTGCTGCTCCTGACCACAAGGTAGGCAATCTTGCGAAGCAGATTCCCGCGTTAACGCCCGTGATGCGTTTTTGCGTGTCCCTACGCACACTGGGGCGTTGGGCACGGCACCAAGCATCAAGGACACCGGCTGCCGCACGCACAGCCATGTGAACAGGCAGCCGTGTGAACAGGCAGCCGTGTGAACAGGCAGCCGTGTGAACAGGCAGCCGTGTGAAACAGGCAGCCGTGTGAACAGGCATCAGTATGTGGCTGCCTTGTAAACCGGCCGGATCACCTAGATAGTCCGACCTGGCTGCCTCCTACATAAGGATGAGGCATTCATAGCTTAGTTGGAGAGACAACCTTCCCACTTCATCTCATCCATATGCAAAATGCATCAGCCCGTCTGATGCTGATGTCCAACCTTTGGCAGCCAGTTGGCCTCTGCAACGGCGCACGTGGTACAGTATACGATATCGCCTGGGCGCCTGGAGCTGACCCCATGCAAAACCCTCCCTGCGTGATCGTGATGGAGTTTGACAAGTACACGGGGCCGGTATTCCTGACCACCGCAGATGGCAGGAAGATTGCCCCGGTTCTGCCTGTAGACAGGGACTTCCTCGTCGGAGCCACACTCTGCACTCGTACGCTGTTTCCCCTGGTCGTATGCTACGCCATTACGGTTCACAAGTCGCAGAGCGTCACCGAAGACATGATCGTGACGGATCTGTCCTGCCGTGACTTTCAGACCGGTTTGAGCTGCGTGGCCGTCTCGCGTGTGAAAACGCTGCAGGGTCTGATGCTGGATTGTCACGCGCTAGGAGAAAGCACACCTCCGAGATGTCTCGGGGTAAGCCGTCAGGAAACGGAGGATGCTATCATATAAGAAGGGTGCCTATTCTCGGGATTTTATGGATTCTTCAGAGATCAATGAATTGAATCATTGGCCCCCGTTCCTCACTCTCCGTTTCGTTGTGTGTGTGCGCCTTACATGTATGCCCCGTTTGACAGCAATCACCTGACTTATGCGTCACCGCCGGGAGGAATTAAGATGAAAATGAGGGATCAGAAACTTCGCAAACGACGGGTTCTCACCCAGAATCCGTACAAGATCGGCCACGGGTCTACGTAACTCCACTTGATGCTACCCGCGACAAGAACGACATTTGCAAGGCACAGATGAATGTATGGTTGTAGATACTGTACTGAATGTTCGGTGACTGCTTAACTGTTGACCAGACACGCAGCCTTCGGCTGATTTACGCCTTGCACCACAAGCTCTAAGTGCAAGGTGTGACATAGTATTTTTCTTTGAAAATTAATCGCGTAGTCCCGTGACGTCTTCTGCTCTTTTCCACCACGCAGACATCCTAGTACTGATCATATGTAGAAAACTGCACCTCCCCCCAAGCCCCAGAATAGCCTCCCTGCGAAGACCCTGCCTGGTACCCCGAGTAATCGTAGCCTCCCTGCGACCCCCCTGCCTGAGACGGTAACTGGAGCGAGGAAGGCATAGGAGGTGGGGCTTCATCCCTGACGATGGAGAAGAAAAGCGAAATAAAATAGGCCCGTTCGGAGTGGGCATCGATATAGGAATCTTTAAGATTTTCTTGGTATTTCCCATAGAAAGGCGTCTTCTTGAAGCTACCGCCTGATCGTCGCTCGAAGATCCAGCAACGGGCCTTCGTGCCCCAGGTTGTCATGCCGTACAGAAGGCGTGATCCGCTTTTCTCGAGAAACTTTTTGGCTCCTCTCTCAAGTTGCTCCTCGGCCTCGTGGATCAGTGCGTTTCCCTGTCCTGTTCTCTTTGCCTCGAGGAAAAGTAACGTCTGGTGATGCTCCTCACGGATCTGGCCAATGCTAAGATCCACCCTCGTGCGGTCATCTCCATCCGGGCTCACCTCGGAGTTGACCGTGTAATTGAGGTTCCAAGGGAATTGTCTGATGAGAATATTCTGCCAGAAGTTTTTTGCTTTATACTCAATGTCGTGTCCATGAACTTCCTGGTACAGAACCCAGAGGTTGGGATCTAGGAGGCTGCCGCTTTCCATGATGAGCGATACCGAGGCTTGGAGTCAAAAGGACAGCTCAGACTTGTCTCAATGAAAAGCCATCCGCAGTGCAGGCCGGTCTATTTATACTGCATCTAGCGCCGCGGCAGCTAACTCGAATCGTAGTGTTGCGCCCAACACATGCCGTTAACGCACGTCCGGGTCCGACTCGATCATGCTGTGCATGGGAGGCAGAGATGTCTAGGTCGTTATTAACGCTTGGACAACATGTGACAAGTGCCAGGTGCGCTTCCTTCAATTCATTTCTTCCTGCTGGAAAACGCCAGTTAATTGGTACGGAAGGCAGGCCATGCCTTGTGTGCGTTGATGCATAGGAGGATAAGATGATTGCACGCAAGCCGTAGCGGTGCGCAAGCCGTTGCGATGCGCAAGCCGTTGCGATGCGCAAGCCGTTGCGATGCGCAAGCCGTCACGGTGCGCAAGCCGTTGCGGCTAAATTATGTGACTGCCTGATAAGCAGGGCAGAGCGTCATCAAATGTTCCGCTCCAATGCCCAGCGGCCTTGTCTAGGTGAAGTGAAACCTAGTCCTAAGCCCATAATGACCATTCGATGTGGGTGCCAGGGTGGTTGCAGTAGCTCTCTGCGGCAGACGTCTTGCCTGTTTGATGTTGCATCCACCCTGCACTCGGCGTGTACGCCGCAGGTGACACGGCCAACGACACAGCATAGTTCCGTGACAGCGTCTTTTTCATGTATAGCTATTCCTCACAATGTAGGCGCAGAAAGAGTGCTGGCAGCTATGGAGCGGGATTTTTGACATATAAGGCGTCGAATGGCGCATGTATAGATTTACCGGTAGCCATCACCATTCACAAAGACTTCTGCCACTGGAACAGGCGCTGTCAAGCTACCTGCGCTAAAATGATGGCATCACATATTGTCACTCAAGGCTCGGTTAGGTGCGGTCACCTCAACGACGTTGATCAAAAGAAATGCAGCCATGATCAGCCGTGCCGACTTGGAATCCAACCATTTCAGATCATCACCGAAAATTGCATGAGATGTGTACAGGACCCTCACAAAAGACTCCACCACAATTTCCGCAACCTCGAAGATAAATCATCTCTACTCCGTTACTGGTATTGTCGAAAGTTCAGTGAAGATAGAAATTTTTGGGGGCCGTCCAGGTTGGCTGTGGGAGTGGACATCCCTGTTTTCAGGAGTATCAGCGCCGAAATGGAAATTAGTATGCGCGAGGCATGGCAGGAAGAGTCCAGAAGATTCGTCAGATCAGCGAGTTGCGGCGCGAGCGCAGTTTTATGGAGGGTCGAGGATCGTGTTTTGTTAATGAGTTAGACAGCGATAAGGGCAGAGCACTTTTAGAAAGGGCGATGGAGGTGATTCTTGAGGAGACGAATAAACAGAAGGAATCGCCATGTAAATAATTATTCTTTCCTATCTCAGATATCTATCCTCTATTCCTTCCCTTCCCACCTGACAATCCTGTCTTTTCATGTTTCTCACGACCAACGACCTCGACAAGGCCTAGATCAGGGACGACCAGAGGAGAGCCAAGTTCTTGGCTCTGCGAGCCAGCACGAAACTCATCTTGCGGAATTATCACAGCTGAGAGTCACGCTTCCTGCAGCCGCGCTGTTGTCTCACAAATCCCAATGTGGAATGGAGCAACGACACCCTTTGCTCGTGTCTTTGACCTTCCTTGTTTGGTTCATCTCCACCAGAGAGCTCATGGTATCGTCACGGCCACGTTCATTTTGACTACAGACTCGTGAAAGTTGCCCTCTGCAGGCCCATGGCGTTCCGACCTCCTGGTAAATCCGAGCTTAGACGCATGCAAGTCAAAGTGCATGAATCAGGTTGTATGCACTGCTTGATGCCAATCTACTATACCGAATGGCTTCATAGCGGGGGGCCAACCGCATTGAGCTGTTGAAGCCGTGCCGTTCCGACCACCTTAATCTGGCCAGGCCGCTTCCATGTGGAGGAAGCTCACCCGCCTCATATATGTAGATCATCATATCAACTATGGCCCAGTCTCAAGGCAATGACGGTATAACCTTACTATGCACAAATCGCCCATCACCATATCACTCTAGGTATGTCTGCCCGTCTGCAAAGCGACTAGACAACGTCCTGTGGCTCTCTTCATCTCAGCTTTATTTTCCAAGTACCAATATTCACTGTTATGACTCTACATTATTTAAAGCGGATCTCGTCCCCGGCGAGCCCGGTGGTCATATTTTCATTTCTTTAAGTCTGAATTACGCTCTTTCCACTGTTCAAGGTTGCCACATTTCGACATGCAGGACGAGATTGCCACTAGGGAGGTCACCGAGGCCGGTGTCGTGTTTGCAGTCACCACGGCTTTTCTGGCACTTTACCTATACTGGATGATCAGAGTAAAGCCACGAGAAGCTTCGCAGAGGCGAAGCTGGGCGCTGATATCCGCTGTCTGTCTCCTCCTGGGCACCGGGCTAATATTCGCCGCTTTATTTGGCAGTACAAGAAATGCACTCTTACCGGATATACTTGCCTACCCCCTTTTCATATCTTGGAAAGGAGCGATCGCGTTGTGTGTCGACATTGTCGAAGTATTTCCTCATTCAGTCACTCCTCGCGATCTCATGCTGATGGCTTGCAGCTTATTCAGGTTGTCGATCCCCTAATACACGCCTGTTTCTCTCACTCCGTCAAGCCAGGTCCCTCTATCAAGGCTAGGATCACCATTTTCGGACTAATAATTGTCTTCCACCTTCCCTTTATTGGAGCGATCGTCTGGCAATTCAGGCTATCTGACGTCGAATACTGGTGGGCTGCTCCAATGGTGTCTCACTTGGCCACCGTTGTTATGGTTATGGCGATATGGAGGAAGACACAGCGTTTCCGTCGTTTTGACCGGCACTCTAACCAGCCTCAGCCGAAGCAGCCGACGTCAAACCAGGGGATGCCGTGGCTTGGGGCAGTAAGCGGATTGGTGTTCCTAACATCATCTGTGCTCCTAGTGTGTTCTGTCACTGGTTGGGTGAGACACCAGTTTGGAGGTCAGTGTGGGCTTTGTCTGGCGATTTTAGTCGTGCCAGCAGTACCTCTGGACAGTATGATCAGAAAGCACCAAAGGAAACGGGTAGACAGAGAGATGCAACTGAATGTGGTGACAGACCCCGGTACCGAACGGTCGACAGAGCACCTGGTATTTTCCTGAGGGCACTGAATCAGACAGATGGTAGTTACATCACTGTCCGCCCTCTGCCTACGGCTACTATCTTCAATTTAAGCGTCCCAAGTTTGGGCCACACGCGGATGCCGCATATAGGTCATACAAATGCTCACGGTAATCCTTTCAAGTTGGAAGCGCGACGTAAAGGTGCCTTCCAAGCATTAAAGGAACCTTTTCCGCGTAAATCATCCCGTACGTATGATCTTCGTTTCAGTTACACTCTCCTCGACCGAAGTACCTACGTTGGTTCACGCGAATTTTCACCAGTCGTCTGAAAGACATGTCCGAAAGGACTTCCTCGGATTCGCAGAAGGGCTCGATAAGGACAACTGGCTCGTCTTGGCCTAATATTCACGCTGTAGAGAGTGTCCAGACGTCCAGATATGCTCTACTTCCCTCCACAAATGAAGCATCAATCGGGTTCCAAACTGTGGGGGGCGACGAGTTCGCCGCGGACGACTACGGTTCTGATGGCAGTGAAACCGGCGAGCCAAGCATGAAGTGGCGGCTGTTCCAGCGTACGACACCCCAACCCAGGGAAAGGCAGCGACAATCAATCATCACGCTTATGGTGGGGAGTGCAAGAAAGCAACAGTCAACCTCAGACAAGGGATTTAGCGAGGAGCCTCGATTCAATTTTCTGCATGCTCAAGTCACATGCGACCCCGGGAAAACCCGGGCAGTTCTATCGCCACGAACGACTCGCTGAAGTATGCTCATGACCGAGTTGACCGACTCACTTAGACTTGGACTCGTGTTGGAAAGGCAGCAGGGGGCACTCACACCCGACGCCGTCTTGGATCATCGATACGCCTCACATGATTCGGTGACCCGAGGACAATTCCCCGACAAGTCTCGCATGAAGGCGAGCGAGGATGCAAATGCCAGCTTGTGGAACCAGCATTTCTTAGACGAGATATCTAAGGACTAAGTTACTACCATTCTAAGGGCTGGTGAAGATATAACAATTCAACACTCCTCCACGGCTGGTTGCTTGCTCCTCCGGATTTTGTGAATCCGCTGTCGCTTATGCCCTTGCTCATGGCTTTGCCATCTTCTTTTAGGCGCTCGACATTCTGTACTTACGCCTCCGTATATCCCGCCGTGGTCTCTCCGCTCGCATTGCCTGGTGTGTCGTGACGAGTCCGAAGGAGAAGACTGAGAAAGGCTGATAGTAATTCTAACAGGCTTGCAGAGAGGGAGGTCAAGTTCAATCTCAACCTGTTTGCCTTGTCCGTTCTCGACTGTTCCTCTGGCCTCTACTCGATGGCAAGTATCGGATACAGTGACTCGAAAAACGAGCCCAGTAGGAGGACGATTCTCCTTGTCATCGTCGCAAAGGGAAGAGTAATCACTCTCTTCAAGATCGCTAGGTGCAAACAAGGGCTGTATATTTTGTGTAGGTGACACTGCAATCTCGTCTTGCGGATATTTGTCTCGACAGTTTGTGCCATTGAATTGGCTTTCGGTATCCGAGAATTCTGATGTGGGCGAGGTAGGACAAAGAAGCATATCGAGAGCACGAAGATGACCAGTTTGTCCATAGGCAATCGATTCAGTGGAACTCATATTCCCCTGCATAGTCGAGGTAGTGTCAGTCGACATGGCGGGAAGGAGGGCCTCGTTGGCTTTCGGAGAGTTGCAAGAAGATGGGAGATATGGAAACCGGGACAAAGGGGGGTGGTGCCTACCTCCTTTACTTTCTACACGAGTATGAGACGGGCTGCCTTGGCCGGGACGAGAGCGGCAGCGAATCATTCCGAGAATCCCCAAGGCGTAGCTTTGGCCATCTCATTGCACATATCGTCGGGTGGGATCATGCGCCTTCCCCCACTTCCGGGCTGTGGTCCGTTGTTGCTTCGCTGACGCCTGCCGGCCACCCCTGAGATGGTTTATGCGTCTTTGACCAGGTTCAGCTTCTGCATCAATGCACCGATCGCATCCGCTAATGCTGCAAAATTACGAGTAGCCAACTTCTCCGTAGGCGCAGGGGGCCGAACCGAATCGTGCAGACTACTCCGCAGCCTCCCCTGCGCCGGGGTTTAGGGAGGGAACGCGAGGCAGGACTTGTCCGTTAATTTCTCTTCTCTCGTCGTTGACCCAATATATGACAATATACATGTACATGCCTGGGAAGTGTCGGGGGTGGCGAAGCTTGCAGCGTCTTCCGTGGAACGTGGGGGTGCAGACGCAGGCGGATCAGCTCATGCGGGTGGTCACCAAGGTGCTGCACGATCTGACACCCCGGGCACAGCCGCCGCCTTACGCGAAACGATGGTGGACGAAGGACCCCTTACACGACTGCGGCGGACATACACGTACTGGCGCAATCAAGCGAGGGCACAGCGACGAGCCGGCCAGTCACGGCCGGATCTGGAGCAACGCGCCAAGGAGGCTGCCAAGGAGTACCACGACAACTTGCGGAGACAGAAAAGGCCCATTGGGATGACTTCGTCACGGACGAGAGCAACATCTGGAAGGCAGTCAAGTATGTGAAGTCTGGTACGGAGATGACAGATGACAAGGTGCCGCCGTTGAAGAGAGCCGACGGCTCGATCACCGAAGGCAAGGGCGAGCAAGCAGAGGAGCTCCTGAGCACCTTCTTCCCGCCTCTGCCAACGAGGATCGAACCGGAGGGTGAACGTCCGCAAAGAGAAGAGATAGCCATGCCGGACCTCACCTTGCAAGAGATTGGGGATAAGGTGATGGCGGCGAAGCCTTGGAAAGCGCCTGGGGAGGACGGTCTTCCTGCGATGGTTTGGAAGAAGCTCTGGCACGTGGTCAAGGTCCGGGTGTGGACGCTTTTCGACTCATCGCTCCGAGAGGGCGTGGTGCCTCATCAATGGCGAACGGCCAAGATCATTCCCTTGAGGAAACCTGGTAAAGGAGATTATACCTTGGCCAAGGCGTGGCGACCGATCTCTCTTCTGTCGACCCTTGGCAAGATTCTGGAAGCAGTCGTAGCAGAACGCATCAGCTACGCAGTTGAGGCCCATGGGCTTTTGCCCGCGAACCACTTCGGCGCTAGGAAACGTAGATCGGCAGACCAAGCACTAGTGCTTCTGCAGGAGCGGATCTACAAGGCGTGGAGAATGGGCAGAGTGCTAAGCCTCATCAGCTTTGACGTTAAAGGGGCATACAATGGAGTTTGCAAAGAGCGGCTGCTTGACAGGATGAGAGCAAGGGGCATCCCGGACAGATTGGTCGTCTGGATGGACGCATTCTGCTCGGAACGGACCGCGTCGGTGGTTGTCAACGGGCACACATCCGAGCACCAAGCCCTGCCGCAGGCCGGTCTACCACAGGGATCGCCACTGTCGCCAGTGGCTTTTCTTTTCTTCAACGCGGACCTGGTGCAAAGACGGATCAGTAACAACGGTGGGTCCATCGCCTTTGTGGACGATTACTCTGCCTGGGTCACGGGACCAACGGCAGAGTCGAACAGAGATGGTATTCAGTCGATTATCGAGGATGCGCTCGATTGGGAGAAGCGCAGCGGCGCCACGTTTGAAGCGGATAAGACATCCGTCATCCACTTCACACGCATCGCGGAGCGCGACAGCGAATTGCCCCTCACCATCAAAGGAAACGATATCAAGCCGAAGAAGAACGTGAAGCTCTTGGGAGTCATCATGGACAAAGCGCTTCGCTTCAAAGAGCACATCGCCAGTGCGGCCGCCAAGGGGCTGGCCGCGGCCAAACCCCATGCTCAGCAGCTCAATAAGCCGGACGAGGAGGACGATGAAGAGGAAGGCGAGGAGGAGGTGAACAATTGAGCGTTGATGTTGCCCAATTCGACCTCCACGGTGGCGGCAAATGCCTGTAGGGCGTGATAGAAATGCGCTCTGCTGGTCCGCTGCGTCCCCGCTGGTGTATTGGCACCTTCTGCTACGTGACAAAATTCAAAGAGATAAACGCTGAGGTACATGGAGCAGTGTACTGCGGGGCAGGATGTCCATGCCGCTAACCTATTTCGACACTTGGGTGACGGATTTTGGGGTTTTGCAACAGTCACCCCTATAGCCTGCCGTAGCGTAGTGGCTCTATGGGGGAACCCTCCGGGCGCAATACAAAAAAAAAAAAAAAAAGCTGGTGCTGGACACCGCAGTAGCCAGTACACCGCAATAGCCAGATTTTTCACCGTCCAACTTCAATCACCTACACTTCAACCAGATCACAATCCTTTGACTTGCAGAGATGGAAGCACGTATCCAAGAAGCTCTTCGATATATTGAGCATTTTTCTGGTGCGAAGGTGACCACGGTTGCTCGGCAATTCGGCGTACCACGCAATCGATTGCGATGCCGCCTTGAAGGCCGTCGTCCCAAAGCAGGCAGACCAGCCACGAATTTGAAGCTATCGCGACCAGAAGAGGCGGCTTTGTGTCGTTACATCGATCGCCTTGATAATATCAACCTTGCGGTACCCCCAGAGTTCGTCACCGATGCGGCAAATCACATCTTGCATCAGCGATCTGGTCAAGCCGATCTCGTTATTGGTAGCAGGTGGACTTATCGCTTTCTCAAACGTCACGGCTACTTCAAGAAGCTTCAAAGAAGCTCCACTCAGAGCGTCAAGCCTCCGAAGACCTCACCCGCGTCAATCAGTATTTCCAGAGCCTCCACAAGGTCATCCAAGAGAAGGGTATACCCTCTGAAGATATCTGGAATATGGACGAGACCGGATTTCGGATCGGAGTTGGCAAAGATCAATTGGTCGTCACTAAACGAAAGAGAGCCCATTATTTTGGTATCCCTGAGAACAGTGTTGAGACATGGACCAAGACATGTTTAGGCAGCACCTACAAGTGGTGAGTCACTGGATAGTGGCACGGACGTGCCGCTATGTATATATGTATGTTGAGAGCTGTCAGACAGAATAGAATAGAAGTAAGTTCAATCGCAACAGGTTATGAGCCCGGTTGCTTTTATTATGCTTCCACTGCACGATTGAACTCGGCATATGAGAACACTTTTTCGTCAAGAATCGACGGTTGACAGCAAAGACCCGGCACTATGGGCAAGAAAGACTACAAAGGAACCATCCTTGATGGAAGAGACTCCTTTGACAGCTGGAAGATGGATCTTGAAGATAACTTGTTGAGTGACGATCTTATGAGCTGCGTCACCGGTAAGGCAACAGCGGAATCGTCAGATTTATCAACGCCAGGAGAGAATGCTGCGGACATTAAAAATGTCTCTCTTGCGAGAATGAAAATACGACAGAGTATTGACCAGATCCACAAGAACTCAGTCAACCATCTCACCGATCCACGAGCAATTTATCAATCCCTCGTTAAGCGATATGCGACATCGAACAAAGCGCGCCTTCGACAGCTGATCCGAATGCTATACGACGTTAGTACGCAGACGAATAGAACTGTGCAGGAGAAGGTCGACGACCTAAAGCGACTTCGAGCTCAGATTAATAGCCAAGACAAGGACATTGTTATCCATGAACAGCTATTGATTTGCTTCTTGCAAATGAGCATGGACGACGCTTTTAACACTACGGTCGAGATCTTGAACGCCTCGACAGAGACGTTGACAATGGAAAAGGTGCAGAGCTCTCTGGAAAGCAAAGAATTGGAGCTCGTCGATACGACAATCAAGGAGAAACCGCACAATTCGCAGGTCGTGGCCGCAGTGCATGGAACAAAGGGAACAACAGGTCCAAAGCACAGGATGGTGGCGATGATAGCAAGGAGGAGTATCTGAAGAAGGCAGGGGGGTGCTGGTCTTGTGGCGGTATGCATTAAGCATTTCAAGCATGATTGTGCAATTTGGCACCAAACCAAAGCAGGGAAGACCTGGCTAGCCTCTGAAAAAGCGAAGGCGAGAGAGGCCATGGATAGCAAAGAAAAGGCAAACGCGGTCAGGATCCTTGAAGACAGTGGTAGTGAATCTGAGAGATCTACCTACTTGCTTCCGAACACAAAAGTAACAGCCCTCCACAATGGTATCTCGACAGCTGTGCTTCCGTCCATATCACCCCAAGGAAGACCAATTTATCTCAAAGTTGTCCCCTACAAAGACAAGTGTTGAGATTGCAGACGGCTCCGAGGTTCGTTCAAGAGGGAAAGGAGATGTGAGGATCTTTTACGTCTCACAGAAAGGAAGAGCAAGGTCGACAATAGTACGTGGGGTGCACTACATCCCGGAGGCGACGAGCAGCCTGCTATCAGTCGGTGAACTGGAAGACAGGGGAGCATGTATTGTCGTGGACTCTCCGGGGAAGACAGTCACGGTGACAAGAAATCAGGAGGAGGTGCTGTTTGGCCACAGACATAAAAAGGTGTGGCGCTTGAGCCAGACAAGAGGGCACTGAGCCCATACAATCCAAGAAAAGGATGGCGATAACGGGGTAGCGCTGAAGTCAATCCTGAAGATGCCTGAAAGACTACTACATGCTAGGCTGGGACACCCTGGAAAGCATATGGAGGGCAAACTGAACGCCGTAATGGATGATCTCGGAGACAACTCATTCTGCCCGTCATTCTGCTCAAGCTGCACCGAGGCCAAAATGACAAGAAAGGTCTCAAGGAGCCAATGTCTGCGGTGACAGAAAAGCTAGAGAGAGTCCATATAGATCTTTGGGGCCAGTTGAGCTATCACTTCAAGGAATGAAGTACATGCTGACAACCACCGATCAGGCTACCGGGCGAGTTTGGGTTTATTTCTCTAGAGACAAAACGAGAATTACCGACAAGATCAAAGCCTGGGTAGTTGTTGCAGAGGCAGAGTGTCGCGAGTACGGAAAAGGCGAAAAGGTCAAGGCGATGCGCTTTGATCGCGGAAAGGAGTTTCTAAACGAGGCAATGAAGGTATTTTGCACGGGGAGAGCTATTCGGACCGAACCAACAGTGGGCTACCACCCGGAGGGGAATAGTATCTCTGAGAGGAGCATGCGAACCATATCAGAGAGAGGGTCTGCTATGCGTCACGAAATGGACCTCCCGGCAGCATACTGGGAGTTTTCGAACGCAACAGCGGCCTATCTGAGAAATAGGGGAGTTGTCAAGGGAATGGCTAAAAGCCCATGGGGGTTATGGCGTGGAGAGAAGCCAAGATCAGGGCACTTGAGAAACCAGTGAAGGGCTTCCTCGGGGCTGTTCACTTCGTCACCGGTAACAGGAGCGCGGAGATGCTCTTGCGGTAGGGCTTCTACAGCTTTGTCGAAGCCGGAGCGGACATCATCGGGGAGGCTGTCGCGGTACTGGATCTCCATCGCGTTCGCGTTCGCGTCGGACGAGATGCTGGATCTCCATTGAACCTGAACAACGCGATTCTTATTGCGACGAGCACCCTAGCAAGGGGCGATGAACGATTATTCCCGTTCAGGTTGTAGTCAAGGCGCGATGGCTTTTGACCCATGCTTAGCGCGATAATCCCTGCAATATGTCTGTCCGAACCTGTCTGTCCGGAGCCATCCTGCTGCTCTGGACCACAGCGAGATAGAGCAGATAGCTGCTAGATCAACCCTGCCTGCGATTGATTTGAACGAAACATCTTCATCAGAAACGCCCCCGTCAGGAAGCGAAGTCACGCCAACCAGTGACGATTCGGAAAACCCGATCATCGCCAGTCGCACAGCCGTGGGCATGAGTGCTGGGTTGGCTTCTGAGGTCGGCTGTGATAATTTGCTTGAATCTCCAGCGCTCGATATACCAACCTTATCTGCATCTGCGTTGGGCATGAAGGCGATAGAGACAATTTTGTTGGACTGTGTGAGACTCAACTACACGCTTGCCAGACAGAAGTGGCAACCCGACGAAAAGCTCGCCGTGATGACAAGTACTAAGGACATTAGGGGCTATGCTGAGGTCGGTCGGTCGGACTAGGGATACCTCTTATGGTCACCCCGAGCTCAAGATTCCAGACGTGCTTCGCGACAGTATTTTAGTCTCCCTAGTAGTGACGCCTGACTCCTCCTCCTCAATGCCCGGCTCTGGCGGATTTGGCCCAGTAATCTGATGCTGGATTGTGCCAAGTTTGCGCCGAAGCATGCACATCTCAACAGTGATTCCGGGTCCAAACGCGCAGGCGACAACATGCTCACGAGGGTGGCTGTCAGATGCCAAGTCGTCCATGTCCTTAGAGCGCAGGCGGTCCATGACACTGAAGATGCAAGCGGAGCTAGAGTTGCCGTGGTGGGTGTATACGTCAATGCTTGCACGCATGTGTTCCGCCGAAATCCCGGGCCTGCTCCGCACGAGAAAGGATCGATGCTCCTCCAGGGTGCATTGCCCAATCGAAGTCGCCGGCGAGCTGAGAACTGGTCGGCAGCTGCGGAAGGGAAGCTTTGAGGCGCTCAAAAGTAGGCGAGATTGCAGACTGAGCGAGCTGAGGGACTCGAGGAGTAATGACGGCTTTCCAACCTAAATCCAGTAAGCCTCAAATTTCCCATTAAAATTGCTTCAACGTCATACCCGAAGAATCAACATGGAATCCTAGGTCAGCTCCTGTTCCTGGAATGATCGAATGGTCCCATCCTAGGACTTCGTAAATCGCTGTTGATTGCTGACCAATACCGTTGCTTAACACGAGGGCGCTGGCGCCGTCAGAAAACAAACAAGGGCCTATTCTTGTCTCTTGTCGTTCGTTGATGCTGTCCAACTCGCTCCGCACCAAGAACGATGTGATCTCTAGTGCTAGGCATAAAACCCGAGCTGGTCGTCCCATGGCCGTAGATCCGAGAGCCAAGTTGGCACCAGTTCTTAGCGCAGCCAGACCACCACTGCAGCCTACTCCGTGAAGGAGAACCTTTTCCACAGCGTGGGTGATCCCAAGTTCTTGTGCCACAAAATAGTCAAACCCTGGATTTGCGCTGTCGGTACAAGTTGTTGACACTATGTGGGTTATCTGACTGATATCTATCTTGGCTTCGTAAATAGCCTTCCGTGCTGCTCACAGCGAGCGGTACGCCATCGGCAAGGAAGGTCTTATGTAGTTCGGAAATGATTGGTGTCCTTCCTTGGTTTATTAAAGGGTGGTCACACGAGAGTATTGCCGAACGAGATTTGATCCCGGTAGCTCTATTGATGGAGAGAACCCTCGTAAGACTGTCGGCATAGGTTAAGGTGTGACCAGCAAGGGGCACATAGGATATCGTAGAGTATTATTACTTACGACGGGGACTTAGGATAGTGCCTCTTGCTAATTATATCGAGGGTGTTGGCTTTAAGAGAAAAGGTCGGATATTGAGTGCCCAGCCCTATAACGGACAGATGCAATTCTCCAAACATATTTGAAGTATCACACGTAGGTGGGTGCAATGCATGAAGGTCTTGGTGCGTGTAAATTGCGCTGCTCCATCATTGAGGAAAGGCGTAGTGGCCCGGACCTATATAGGCACCGGGCCTAACATGAAAACAGCTTTGTTCCTTGTCACCGCCGCTTGCGGCTGCTGTTTTCCTCTTATGGTCCCGCCCCCCTTGATGCGGCCCCCGAATAGCTACATCAACGCCGCCGCTTTTGTTCATGAGTATTAAGGTACCCGTGCCACGCCCCACTTTATTGGCACTCGAAACTGTCGAAGGTCCGAACGACTTGACGTCTCTAGGTCTCTAGGTAATACAGCTTGAAACCAGGTAAGAAGGGAAGTCTGCAGACTATTCTTTCTTCTTCCTAGACCACTGAGGGGTCCGGAGGATCTCCTATTCGAACGGGAACCCTTGCCTTGAGGAACGAAAGGATTTATGCCCCGCGCCGCCTCCCGACCTTTGCCTTGAGGAACGTGTTGCAAACTGGGCAGAATCACGGGCAGGATCCACCCCAGGTGTGCAGGGCCAGTGTTGAACTCTTTAAAGAGTTCATCAAAATGGTCTCTCAACCAAGTCGACCCCACAAACTCCTCCAACTCAGCAGCCGTGAATGTAGGCGTATTCTGTCGACAATGATATCCACTCACTCTTCCGAGTGAATAGCCTCACGGAAAGCTTGGGCTTCGCCATCTGATGCGCCGAGTTGACAGCGTTGTCTCCCAGAGGACTAGGCGGTCATAAAATGCACCTGATGCCGTTCCATCGTGGGGCTTCCGAAGACTGGGAACAATCTCCCACGGGAAAGGCAACGTCCGCGTCAGGGAAGGATTGCAAACATTACAGCACTCGCCCGGTCCTGGAGCAGGTAACTTGGATGCGGGGTCTGACAAACTCTCTTGCAACCAATCCATGAGGATTCGGCGTAAGCATGAGGATCGATTGACAAGATTGAACAGCGCCGGGCAGCAATTGTACAACTCTATTCGGCGCTCTCTGTCTGTCTTGCGTCTGCGCTGCTCTCCTGGCAGGTCACATTCAATGACGCTCACAGCGATATCTGATTCATCGTCGGAAGGTTACCGTCCACTACTGGTTCAGCAGAGAGTGAATGTGCTAACCCGGTCGTTGCGGAAAGCCTTCTCGAAGACGATGGCGTCTGACTGCTGGACAACATTGCCGCTCTTGTCGATGCGACCCTGTCGCCCACAGCCCAGCTTTCTACCAGGAAGATTGCCTCTCCCTTGATGCTGGTCATTCTAGCTGCACGACCAAAGCGTTGGATAAGAACACATAAGAGGCGTTCGAGAGGGAAGCCATACTGGACAACTCGTATGACATCCGAGAGATCTACCCCCGTTCCCAGCGATTCTGTGGCCACCATGATTCGGATCTTAGAGTCCGCTTTGGAAAACTCGTCGTATAGGGCATTCTTGTCATTCAGGGTGGTGTGGGAGTGGTAGACCTGGATAATTTGCTTGCAATCGCGGGTTCCGATTGCCCCAGCTGACAGTTTCTGCAGCCACTGGCGCAGGCATTCCGCACAATTTTGTATATCCCGACGGGAGTCTATGAAGATCACAGTTTTCGGAATGCTCTCCGGCGTTGGCGAGCCGTTGGTGATAGCGTCTTGCAGAACAAAGAGGGGCTAGGTATCAATCCACGGCGCCAGGATAAATTTCCACGGAAAGTGGATCAACGTGGCGTAGCGCCGTGGCGGAGGTCCGATGTCGCAAATTTATGTGCGCGCACTCCCAGCTACGGTCTACAGGAGACCGGCCCTTGCAGGGTCCGCCAATGCCTTGAGGAACGGGACTGAAGCATTGGGTTTGGTTTGACACTGACAAGTCTGTTGAAAGGAAAGATGAGGCTTGCTCCCGATAGTGTGGCTGCTTGGACGCCGTTTTACCCCGCCACAACACGATAGGCTTACTAGGGGGGCCTCAAAGTCGGCCAATCCCGTGACAGCTCCACAGTCACGGGGGGGCGGTTGACCTAGAAAAAGCTCGTTGACCTGGAAAAAAAGAAGTACATAAGAGCCCCGCCATTTTGCTAGAACTTAAAAGTACCTCTCTTCCCTCGATAAGTGCAACACATGTTCGCTTTATTGCAAGCTAGTCATAGCAATGCAAATGCATCACCATACTGCCTTTGAGGTGTTTTTGGTGTTTTGGCATCGAATTGAGCTCTATTCGATTTCTTCTTCCTTCCCAGCCTCGAGCGCGTCTTATGATTCCTCTTCATCGCATCTCGATGCCGTCAGCTTCCAAGGAAAGCGTCTGACGGCAAATAGCACGCTTATTTGCCTCCATCACCACTAATTCGGCTGCTTCCTTTACAATCTCGCGATCATAGTACTCCGGCCACATGATCGCCTTGCTTTGCCCTACGCCGCGGTTGTGTAGCTCGCGGAGAATCCTGTAGCTTGCGCACATCCACTCATTGCAATTGAGGTGTGCGCGCTTGTCGCCCTTGGCCCAGAGACCTCTGATATCTCGAATCCTCCCTCGCCTCTGTGATGCTAATCCTGACGTTGAAGCGTACCTTGCGAAGCCAGCGGCGTATATAGCCAGCTTCGTCGCGAACCTCCTTATTCCTGACTCTCTGTGCCTCCTCTTCTTGTGCCGCTTGTCTATTGTATTCGTCTCGGGCGACTCGAATTCTAGCGTCACCGACGCTTAATGGGCCGTATCTCGCTACAATAGTTGTCTGTTGCTGGAGACTGGAGCGCTTGGCTTGTTTCTCTTTTATCTTCGTCATCTCGGCCGTTGCGGTGATGCCGTTGAGAGCGAGGGTTTTGTCGGCTTTCCGCGCCTTCTCATAGACGTATGTGACGGAGGAGTCAACGGCATGTGGGAGTCAACTGATGTGGCTAGACGAAGCTGTACGTAGGCGTGATACCTCTGAATCGTAAAGAGGTTGAGTCTCGGCGTTGAAACATTGTTCCAGTTGAATCGTTGAATCGAGGGCGGCGGTGGCGATGGTGTTGATGGTCTTGCTGCCTGAGGCCCGCCCTGAGGCTCGCTTTCGATCGAGCCCGGCAGGTCCTTAATAGCCACTTCTTCTGTGAGCGACGAGAGCGTGTCTTGAAGCTGAGAAAGCACGATCTCGGGATTGAATGGGAAGAGGCCACATTTCTGCCAAGATGAGAGAATTGTGTGCTTTTTGAAGGTGCGAGTGCGGACCTCTTGAAGATGATATAGAAAATCGGACTTGTTAAAGTCATATGCCCCGTCAGCAATCTCACGATGTAGAACTTGTTGATGCCAGTGTTTGTATGACCTAAAAACGCCGACATCAAGAGGTTGAAGCTGATGTGTAAGATGGGGAGGCATTGGGAAGACCTTAATGTTGTGATCGAAGCAGAAGTGAACCATCTCTTCTGTATAGTGATTATCACAGCTATCCAAGTAGAAGCCGCTTCTGAAGTGGATCAACTGGTCTCGTGTGTTTCTCGAAGTGTTTGATCCATTCAATCGCGATGACATCGTTAATATACCCCTTTTGGCTGGTTGAAATGATGGTATCGTCGTCAAGGCTGTTGCTAACCCAACGGGCAGGAATTTGAACCCCAGGGAGTATCACAAACGAAGGAATGCAACTCCCAGCTGCAGAAATAGCCTCAATCGCTGTGACCGACACTGTATCGTGAGCGTCAGATAAAATAGGGGTATCAATCTCGCGGAAGGTCCAAATAAATGTGCCTTTATGTAGATATCCCACCATGAAGCCCGTCTCGTCGAAATTCCAGGTGTTCTTAGGGAGAATCTCGTCTTTCTCGATCGTTTGAGACCAGCCGCGAAAAAGCCTCAACGTGGATGCGATCTTGCATAGCCTTCCGTTTGATGTCTCGCGCTGCTGCTCTTCGACAGTGGAAGAGTTCTCTATGCCGCTGTATAAAGCGCTTGGCCCAGGCTCGCGATGCTGTAGCTCCCACGCCCTTTGCCTTGAGAATGGCGTTGGCGTGTTGTTGGAGCGCACGACCCTGGATGTGGTGCCCCTGTGTGATGCGGCGATGTGCCCAGCAAAATACCTCCTCTTCATCCGAGGGATCAAGCAGGGCACGGTTGCCCCCATTCTCGGCCGTTGAGTGATGCCCATTGACTCGATAATAGAGGCGCTTGTAGGGTACGCCAAGCGCCTTCGCCGCGCCACAATTGAGCCGTAGAAGCCCTCGTAGTAGAGCTCTGCTCCTGCAATAGTTCGCGTCTCGAGGTTTGCGGTTGTATGGCGCGAAAAGTTGGGTAAGCCGGTGGCAGAATCGATCCATTTTTGGACAGCAGACTCTTTAGCTTTTGAAGAAGCCATAGTCAAAGAATTGGCCTTCCCTCGATGACTATTGAGATAGTGACGTGGCGATAAAATGTAGTGTTATGACGCCATCGTGAAATGGGTTCTGAATTATTGCCATAGGGGTATATGCGGGGTCGAATTGTAACTATGGTAGATATGATCTTAAACATGTCTACTTTTTATTGTATGATGCGTGCACACTAATTGAAGTACCCTGTTCTTTTCCAGGTCAACGAGCTTTTTCTAGGTCAACCGCCCCCCCGTGACTGTGGAGCTGTCACGGGGATTGGCCGACTTTGAGGCCCCCCTAGTAGGGCGGGGTTACGGCAGCCTATAGGTGTCAGAACGGTGGTTCTGCGGCTCGGGCCTAATGAGGAAATATGTGGGTATGTACGATGGATCAAGGCTTAATGCAGCAGCTTGTGTGCAGCTGCAAAAGAGGTTGTATTGATTGTGATGATCTGTGTTCTTTTTTCTTCTTGAGGCCTCCTTGGAGGCCTCGTCCCTAAGGGGGAAATTGGCTGCCGGATTTGCCCGGTGTCTGCACGTGATGATGCACGTGATCCGACATGTGTTTCTACCCGTCAGTTCCGACACACCCCCCCAGCCGAGCCCTCTTCCATGTGGAAGAGTGGGAGGCTGCCAATGACCATGTTCTTGCTCCTGACTCATGGAGGAATCTCCTGCAGTCTACAGTGCCCGTAGGCAAAGGGCCCTTCTTTCTGGGCCGCTGCTATGTGCTGCCTTACACAACTTGGTCCTCCCACATCTTGTAAGATTGTTCTTGAAGTATTGAGTCGGTCGATTCGGGGAGCTCTCGTGACGCAAGGCGGTCGGAGATATCGTGGAGGCCGATTTGGTTGACAAAGGCTTGGAACTTGGGTCCTTGGAGGGCCTTGGTGAGACCGTCGGCCATCATCTCGGCGCTTGGTGTGTATTTGACTTCGAGGGTTCCGTTCGTGATTTCTTGGCGAAGCCAGTGGTTGTGAATGTCGACGTGCCGCAGCTTGGTTCGTAGCGTTGCCACCTCCGCGGTTACGATGCGTATTGTTTGCGTGTTGTCGCATTGGATGCTGATTCGAGAGTGGTCGAGTTTTACGTCGAGTTCTCGGATCAGGCGGCTCACGTATATCGATTCCTTTGCCGCTTGTGAGAGGGCAAGTAGCTCCGCCTCTGTGGTTGAAGTGGTGACAGTGTCTTGTTTGTTTGCTCGCCAGCCGATGAGGCCTCCAAATAGCTTCATTGCGAAAGCTTGAGAGCTCTTGCGGTCTGATGAGTTGTCGGCGAAAGAGGCATCGCTTGCCACTTCGAAATCGTCCCCACCCCCCAGGCGGAGCGCCAGTCCTTTTGTCTGCTGCAGATAGCAGATCACGCGGTCGGCCGCTTCGTGATGTTTGGGTCCCGGGTTGGGGTTGAACTTTGATAGCTTTGAAGTTACAAACGCGATGTCTGGGCGCGTGATAACCGCAGCGTATAGCACGGAGCCTATTTTCACTTGGTACGAATTGATGTCAGCAAATGAAGCAATGCCGTTGAATGGGAAAAGTTCGTTGACCCCCATCGGGGTGTCAAAGCTCCTGTGTTTCTTCGCGAGGCGCGAGATCTTGTCGATGTATGAGGCTTGTGATAGCCAAATGAAGCCTTTCTCGCGGTCTCGAAGAATCTCGATGCCAAGAAACCACTGAAGGCTGTTACCACCTGTCAGCTGGTATTTCTCACGCATTTGTGCTTCCAGGGCTTGCGCCCTCGACTCGTTCTTTCGCTGATATGCGAAGACGATGTCGTCAACGTAGAAGAAAACGATGATTCCGTTGAGGGTGAGGCAGCAGGGCTCGTGTGGCACTGGCTTGAAGCCGAGCTTCTTGAGCGTGTTGGTGAGCTCTCGATGCCACAGCAATGGTGATTTCCTCAATCCGTAAAGGGCTTTGTTAAGCTTCAATACGGTCCCGTGTTTCCTATGGCCTGGTGGCATCTTCATGAAGACTTCCTCATCAAGAGAGGCATTTACGAACGCGTTGACAGCGTCGTATTGGATCAGTTCGAGATCGAACCTTGCCGCCATCGCCATCAATGTGCGAAAGCTTCTTCCAGCAAGCGTGGCTGCGTAGGTTTCTTGCCCATTTCGGAGCTGTTGATCCCCTCGCACCACCAGTCTTGCCTTGCATTTTGAGAGCCTCCCATGCTTATCGAATTTGTATACGTAAACCCACATGCAGTCAAGCACTTGGGCCTTCTTCGGGAGCTCTGTAGAGCTCACCTCGAACCAAGACTTCATGTCTTTATGGCTCTGAAGGTGTACTTCCTCTGCCTCCTCGAATTGATGTCCGAGAGGGTGGTCTCGCAGTTGGGAGTGGTGTTTCGGCACGTCTGGAAGGTCTCGGCGATGGATCTGTTTCTTCATGATCAGCCGTTCAAGATATGCTTTGTCTTTAATCTTGTGGCTCAGCTTGTCTTTTGCAAGTGGTCCTGCTTGTGTGCCTGCCATGAAGGCGGCATGCCAGTTGGCTGTGTGTTTACGCGAGGGAAGGATTCCTTGACCCTGCTGCTGAGAGGATTCCTCAAAGCGGTGTGGTTGTTGCGAGAGGGGTTCCTCTGCTCGCTGCGAAGAGGGTTCCTCAACGCATGGGTATGGGTGCAAGAGAAGGGTTCCTTCTACTTGCCGTGAAGAGGGTTCCTCAACACGTGATTGTTGCAAGGGAAGGATTCCTTCGCCTTGCTGCGAAGAGGGTTCCTCAACGCAATGTGTTTGTGTGGGAAGGATTCCTTGCTCCACTGCTCCAAGCTTGAGGGTTCCTCGTTGCCGGGCATGATTTGCACTGTGCGTGGAAGTGTTCCCAGCCAGGCGTGCTCGAGGAAGATTCCCAATGTGAGCTTCCATCAATGTGCGAGGGAAGGATTCCTTGACCCTGCTGATGGATGATTTCCTGGGGCTCGTTGAGATCAACTCGCTTTTCAGGCAGATTTGTTTGTATTGATGCGGCAAGCAGGGCCGCCGGAGGAGTTGAAGGAGGCGTCGGTAGCAGCTCGAATCGGGCTTCTGTGTATCGACTTTCCTGACCTTCCGGGTCTTTCTCAGGCTCTGCTGTGTGCTCGTCATCGTCATCGTGGTCAAATTCGAAGATTTGCTCGTCAAGCGCCTGTGGGGCTGCTTTCGGGCGATTTCGTCGTCTTCTGGAAGACTTATGTGTGTGAGGGCTAGAGCTAGCTCCTCGAGGTCTGCTTCCTTGACGTTTTGAGCGAGGCTCTCGAGTGTTCCATCGAAAATCTGTTGCTCGTCAAAAATAACGTCTCGGGTAGAGATCACTTTGCCTTCTGATGGTACCCAAATTCGGTATACGTTGGAGGACGTGTATCCCACAAGGTATCCTATCCAAGCCCGTGGGTCAAGTTTCTTGAGGCGATTCCTCTTGTCTTGGGTTGATGGAGTCATGGCAAAGGCTTTGCAGCCGTAAGCTCGGAGATGCTCTTGTGCGGGCTTTCTCCCTGTTAGATCTTCATATGGCGAAGTCCACTTAATTCTGCATTTTGGCGTGCGGTTGTTGAGGTAGACGGCAGATTTGTAAACTTCTCTCCACAGTTTCGAAGGAAGGTTGCCTCTCATTGCACGTGCCTTGTCTTTGATCACACCCCCTGAGCGCTCGGCACCTCCGTTTTGGTCTTGAGTGTAAGGGGCCGAGGGTTCGACTTTGAGGTTTCTTCCGAGCAGGAACTGTGTAACTGCCGGCTTTTGGCTCGTTAGTTCATTGTCGCATTCGATGACTTTGACCTTAAAGTCAAATTGGTACGTAAGGTAGTCGACAGCGTGTTTAAGGGTAGTGATGATGGTATCGGCTTTCCGATCTTGGAGGTAGTAGTCCCAAGAAAAGCCGCTTGCTCTATCGGTGAGAAGCATCAGGGAGTTAAATCCTTTCGAATCAGGCTGAAGGTCGTGAAAATCGATCGCCAGTCTCTCGCCTTTACAGTGGTCTGCAGTGCGAGGCTCTCGTCGAATCATCCGTTTTGCCTTTGCTGTCCCGCAATTGTCGCATTGCGCGGTGGTGATTCCCTTGATTCTAACTCCTCTGGAGCAGTTGACAAGGTGTTCTAGGGCCCTAGGTCCAGGGTGTCCTAGTCGCAGATGCCATACCTCGGCTGATGCCTTTGAGGCTTCCGCTTGGTGAAGGAATTGAATGTGTTTCGGCGGGTGAAGAATGCCCGCCTCGAGAAATGTTGAGGAATATATTCAAGCACAAATTGACCATGGTGTCGTTCCACGAGGCCGACGATGCTTCGGTCAGGGGCGCGCAGGCTTGGTTTCCTGCTTGGGTCTTCATCCCACCAAATACCCTCTCGCATGGATAAAAAATGGAAGGTAAGAGTCAATCTTGTTCATTGTCGTCTATCTAAAATGAATGTGAGAAGTTCTGTCTCCTTATAGTCCTGAGGGAATATGACTGCCTTGCGGTGGCGAATTTGCCACTTGCCACCCAGGATGCTTTTGTAATGTTATCTAGAACGTTTGTCACACATAGGATATCAGCCTCCAACAGTCTGACCCCCTATTCGCACAGTCCGTTTCCACATTTCCCCACAGAAACTTCTAGGAGGCATCATCAACGCATCAGTGGCTTCCAGATGATCTGATCAGATGCTTCCATTCACTACCATTCCCTTCCATTCTCATATTCAGGCAGTCTATAAAGATCTCGCCTCTTTCCCACCTTAGATAGCAGAATCAAGAGTCTTCCAGTCCCTGATCTTTATGCCCACTTGCTCATCCTCCGTGCGATAGTTATGAGCCCGGTCTGCCACTGACTGGGTATCTTATTCTTGTTCACTCCGCTGCGCAGAATAGCTTCCACAATGAGCTCAGCTCTAGATCTTGATGGCTCTTCCAAGGGCACCGTGCTCAACGGCCCTTGCGACTGGAAACAATGGATTTCTATCATCAAGAAATTCGCCACGTCCCACAGTCTTTGGGACTTTCTGGACCCTGCCGTCAAGGAGGGTAAGCCGGTTCTTCAGCAGCCAGTTGAACCAACATTCCGACAAATCAACCACGAAGCATCTGATCTCGTGGATCTGACCTCGGAGGAATTTCGCCGTCTCGAATTCCTCCACACCCAATACCGCTCGAAGCTTCAAGGGTATAGGGATCAAGTGAAGGCACTCGCCAGCCTTCAACAACACATCGTCAAGACCATCGGCAACTACTACAGCACCATTGCCGAGGAACACGACGTTGCAAAGCAACTTGCCTTGCTTCAGGCTCGTGTGGCCCCAACCGACTGGGCACTCGAGAGGAAGTTGTTCAGCGTTATCGTTCCACCCTTCAGTCGCCAAACAGGACCAAGATCGAAGCTTGGGTCACCCAATGGCAGAAAGTCCTCACTGAGGCAAAGCAATTAGGGCTTCCTGATGTCCAGGACCTTCGCCCTACCCAAGATTTCCTACAGGCTGTTTCGTCCATCAACGCCCCATTCACAGACTATTGGGTCAACAAAATGGAAGACGAGGCCGTATTCGGCAAGCCTGATTGGAAGACGGACTTCCCGGACGGCATTAAGATCAGTGAGATCTTTGAACGAGCTCACCGAATCAAGGCCGCCAACAACAGCAAAGGATCATTCGGAGCTGCCTTCCAAGGCAAGGGAGAGAAATCGGAGAGGAAAGAGGACAAGCCTAAGTGGTCTTCAAGCAAGAACGCTGATGGTGTTCCTATGTGTGTCTGCGGAGAATATCACCGCTTCGTAGATTGCTTCTATCTCATCAAATCAGCTCGGCCTGATGGCTGGACTCCTGATCAGAAGGTTGAGAAGAAGATCAAGGAAATCCTCGACTCAAATCCATGGGCAAAGAAGATGACGGAGAAAGCACAAGACTTCAAGAAGAAGGAAATGGAGAAATCGTCCGACTCCTCCGTTAAAGGCACAGCGTTTGCCGGTCTTCTACCAGCTCCTGACAACACACCGCCTCCTCAACACCTCCATCAACCAGTTTCTCGACGGGAAAGGCAGTCTACCCGCTGTATGACTCCTTTATCCTTGATTCCGGATCAGACACACACATTTGCAACAACCGATCCCGTTTTCTTGACTACACCGCCCCTGCAGAGCCAGAAGAGCTCTTTGCAGGCGATAGTCAACTTCAGATCCTTGGCTACGGCACAGTCCGTATGAAGCTTGAAGAAGGAGGACTTTTTCAGCTCAACGAAGTTGCCTTCGTGCCAAAATTCCACACCAACATCGCATCCCTCGACCGCTTTCTTGCGAAGGGATACAACTGGAATCCACTATCTGGACGCGTCTCTAAAGACGATCAGATTATATTTCATACGAAACGCCGCTTTCGTCAACCGGTCATCGAGTTCAACCCGATTAAGGAGGACTCTCACGCCTCCAATTTCACATCTTCATCTGCACCTCGCACAGTGAAAACAGCAGATGCTACGCTTTGGCATAAGCGCCTAGGTCACTTGAACGCTCAAGCCCTAGAGCATCTTGTTGAGAACACGACGGGTTCGAAGATCAAAGGCCCAGTTACCATCGATTGCACCGCGTGTTCCCTTGGGAAGGGAAAGAAGGTCGTCTCTCGCCGAACCCTCAAAACCGAGCCCCAGACCATTCTGGAGAATCTACGTTGATATCTTCAGTATGAACACCTCATTCAACGGCAAGGAAGCTGTTCTTCTTATCAAAGATGAATTTACAAGCATGATCTTCATCTACCTTCTGAATGACGCGACACAAGGGTCCGTTATGACTGCTTTGAGAAACCACGAGGCAATGGTTCAACGCCAATGGAATCTCAACATTTGCATTATCCACCGTGATAACGATCGTTCTCTTCAGAGTGCGTATGAGAGCTGGATCGAGGAAAAGGGGATTCAAGATGAACCTTCTGCCCTTACACTCCGCTCAAAACGGTTCTGCAGAGCGATCTGGGGGGGTAATATCTGCCCAGGCCAGAACAATGGGAATTGATGCCAATTTACCATCTGATCTTTGGCCAGAGACTTGGAAAGCAGCAGTGTTTTTGCACAACAGATCGCCCATGCAGAACCACAGCTTCCGAACGCCTTTCCAGCTG